GGGGGCTTCCTTCTTGGCGGGGGCTTCCTTCTTGGCGGGAGCTTCCTTCTTGGCGGGAGCTTCCTTCTTGGCGGGAGCTTCCTTCTTGGCGGGAGCTTCCTTCTTGGCAGGAGCTGCCTTCTTGGCAGGGGCCGCCTTCTTGGCAGGGGCGGCCTTCTTGGCAGGGGCGGCTTCCTTAGCAGCCTCCTTCGTCGGGGAGGCCTTCTTGGCAGCTTCCTTGGTGGGGGTAGCCTTCTTGGCAGCCTCCTTCGTCGGGGTAGCCTTCTTGGCAGCCTCCTTCGTGGGCGTGGCCTTGGCAGCTTCTTCCTCCTTCGGGGTCTCGACAGCCTTGGTCTCTTCTTCGGCTTGCTTGGCCTTCTTGGCGGCCGGGGCCTCCGTCGAGATGTCTTCGCTCTTGCGCTTGATGTTGATTTCGGTCGGGAGCTTGGCCGAGTTGGGCAGCGCGTTGTAGATCGGGAGCGCCATCGAGTCGTTCGTCTTGATGCTGATCGACTTGATGTTCTTCCACTTCTTCGGGACGTAGCTCACAATAATCTCCGTGCCGTCGATGATGTTGTCGACAATCTGGCTCAGCTCAAGGCCGTCGTGGGCGATCTTGACGTTGAAGCACGGGCCCGTCGAGACAAACATGGCGGTACCCGCGAGCACGCGGCGAATCGGGTCGCTGACGTTCTTGGCCGAGACGTCGACCGTGCGCGGCTGCTTCTTGGCATCGAAGAACGTCTTGCCAAGGAGCGTCTTGAGGTACGGGAGCACACGGTCGTCGGCGAGGAAGGTCGCGAACGACGCCTTGAGCTCGCGGCGGTCCTTGAACTGGCCAAAGTGCTTCTTGAGCTTCTTGATGCCCATGACCTTGGTGAGGCCGTCGACCGGGTCCTGCGCCAGCGCCTCCTTGATGCGCTTCTTGTCGGCATCCTTGACGAAGAGGCAGGCTTCGCCATCGGCGCGGATCGAGTGCGGGAGGTCGATCAAGATGGGCTTGAGCGACGACTTGGGCGGGACCGTGTTGCGCGTCACGATGAGGCTGAAGACGTTGGCGTCCTCGACGAGCGCCTGCTTGGCGGCCGACGCCCGCTTCTTCTGCAGCACCTGCTGCAGCGCCTCGACGGCCTTCGTCACTTGCTCGCGGTCGACCTGCTCCATTTTGATTATCTGGTTTTACTGGTCGGGACCAATCGCGCCCCGGGATTTTTATCCGCCCTTCGTATCCGGACACCCCGCCAGTGGTTTCTCGCCATCCAATTGGCTGGCAAACCAAACGACGCGCTTTTCACACGCTCGACCGCACGGACGTTCGCCACGTTCTGGCGACTCGTGCACTCGACCGAGGTACCCTCTTCTGTCGCGAGCGCCGATGTAGCGCGCGGACAGCGGACGCGGCAATCGCGCGCGCAGTGTACGTGCCCCCGCTTCCCGCCAAAAGATCTGAGATGAGAAAACCACACGTGTGTGTGAGCGGTGTGTGTGTTTTCCTGGCGATGTGGTTTTTACGACACGGCACGGAAATAGTGTGGCGGCGAGGCACTGCAACGGCGCCAGCGCGCGGATGTGTGTGGGATATAGTATGACTAGGCGGCGCTGCATGGAGACGGCGGTGCTGTGGACATGCGTAGAGGGGTGTTAGCAAGACGCAGCCGAGAATGCATCCTGGCTGAGTGATCGTGGGTCCACCGATGAACTAGGGAGTGACGATGACGCTGGCTTGTCAGTCGATTGCACAATGCCATTTCGCAGCTATTCCATGCCGCTGGCCACTATATTAGTGCATGGATACTTCACACTTTGCTTCCGCGACCGACGGCCACTGGGTCGTTGACCAGTTTGCGCAGCTTCACCGCAGTGGCTCCATCAAACCACACAAGTGACTTTGAGTTTATTACACTGGTGCCATGCTTCTGCTGTCGTGCTAGCCGCTAGCGCCAAGGACCACATAGGATGAAGTCTTCGCGCTGCTTGTATGACAAGCGCAAACATGCTAACGTTAGCTCGGAGCGAGACGTCGAAATGCGAGGAGCCACAGTGACGGAGCGTTCGCAATTGCAGCACGTGCAGAACGCCACCTTTGGCCTCATAGATTGATGAGCGAGACATCCGTTCCTTCCTTCTTTGGGCGTTCCACGTGTCCAATAGCAAGGTTACACTCATGCTACAATGCGAAAGCGATGGGCGGCGCCATGGTTCTTTAGCAAAATTGAAGTAAAACAATCGACACCTTCCTAGGACCGTACCGTATATACTGTTAGAAAAAGGTCCGACAACGGGTGTACCACTGCTCAAGGATGGCGTTTTGGTATGAGCTTTTTTGTTGTTCGCAGAAGTGACAATGCACAGTATTGTCATCCTTTGGCCACGTGCGTCGCGACAGCGTCCTGCGCTCGTTCGGTGGCGAAACCGGTAGCATCGCCTGGCTGCCGACGGGCATACGAAAAGCAAGTCGGTGAAGGCAACTCTTGTCGACGCAGAAGCCGACAGCACCATCTGGACGTGTGTCGCAGCTCGCATGAGACTTGCGGTTTGTATATTAGACTTGGTCTTTGTAGGTACCTGTACCATCGCAGCTGGAGTGTGAAATCTGAAACCTCTCAGATCTGATACTTTTGGGCAATTTAAACCGGCCCAACCGGCCTGGACGTGTTTTTATTCTTGATATCTTGCGTTTTGTAGGAATGTGGAATAAAAATAGTGAGGTATTCGTTTTTTGCTTCATCTTCCGAGTGCTGATGACATCCCTATTTGCAGCTCCAGGAGAACGAAGGGGAGGCCTCATGAACTCGAGCCCGCCCGCGAAACTCAGCATCGGCGTCCCGCCCGCGCGGTCCCTCTCCGAGAGCATCGCCATCAAGAAGGAGCCGGAAGACGTCTCCATGCGCAAGGACAGCATGGGCTGGATCTCGGACGACTTTATGGGCATGATCAATCACACACCGCCGGCCTTCTCGCCCGGCAGCTTGACGCTGCCATCGACCAAGCGGAATCGCAGCGGTAGCATCTCTGGGCGTCTGCTCAGTGCCTCGGACCTTGAAGAGAAGGGCTTCATTGACAGATACCAAAAGGGCGTCTTGAAGGTATTGTGTAGCCGTTGCTCACAGCCCCTAATGGCCTCCGCAGGACCTCATCATCAGCGGCGACGAGAAGCTGCAAAAGGCCCTCGAAACGTTCGAGCAAGGTGACCCGACGGCGCTTGAAGGTACGCCATTGTCTGCCATCTCACCCTCGAGCTCACGCCCTCGTAGCACTTCTCGACAGCGGCGCCTTGAACCGCAAGACGTCGGTCGACTTGCTCGACGACCTCGACCTTGGCTTCCTCAACGTTGGCTCGCTCGGCGACACGCCCAAGGAAGAGGTACCCTTTAGCCCAACCGCATGCCCGCATCTCATGATGACGCGCTACGCTAGTACACGGCCCGGCAAACGCTCGACGAGTGGGATGAGATTGGCTTTGAGCCCTTCTCGGAGATTACAAGCCGTGATTTATTGGAAGGTAGAGTGACCTCTCCCTGTCTATCAGAACTCATAGCATGTGCGTAGCGGGCGACTTTTACTCGTCGTCGCTCGGCAACTCGCTGCCAAACTCGTTGCCCTCGATGGGCATGGGCATCACGCCGCCCAACGCCTTTAGTTTTGCAGATGACTTTCTGGATCAGTCCTCCAAGGTACGACAACAAAGACTTGGTCGCAACGCTCACACCTCTCTCTAGCTGTCGAGCCCGACGTCGAGCGAGAACGTCAAGGCCGAAGACGGCAACGCCAGCATGTCGACGTCGCGGCCGATCGGCATTCCTGGCTCGGCCGCGACACAGCCGCGGCTCGGCGCGTCGGGGTTCATTGGCGGCATGGTCGGTCTCGGCGGCGGCCTCAACGACTCGGAGAAGAAGGCATTTGTGGGCGCGTACTCGCCCGAGTCGCGGCGCAAGCGCGTCGAGAAGTTTCTCGACAAGCGGCAGAAGCGTGTGTGGCGAAAGGAAGTCAAGTACGACGTGCGCAAGAACTTTGCCGACTCGCGCCTCCGAGTCAAGGGCCGGTTCGTCAAGAAGGAGGACGAGCAGTTGCTGCGCGAGTTGCTTAGTTTTACCTAGTCGTGCTTTGAACCTCATGTTGTTGTCGTTGCGGGTGTTGCGGCATCGCTCTTGTTGCACGCGCAGTCGCACGCGGTCGAGAGACAGTTGTCGAGCGTCCACGTCACTTGCAGCGCGTGCTTGGCGTGGCACTTGGCCGCACACACGACGCAGAGCTCGGCAAGGTGGCAGGTGCCGCACATGTACAGCACGCGGAGGCAGTCGGAGCGCAACGACTTGGTCGTGGTCTTGGCACTGCACTCGCTTGAGGCTACGGGACGCTGCTATACATGGTCATACTCTCGTCTTCGTACCCGAGAGCAAGCTCGTGTCGAGTGGAGGCCGCTCAATCTTGTTCAAACCCGCTGCAATGACCTGTGAACCTTTGCAAGGGCAGTTGGTGCAGCATACCTCGGTCGCCCCACACAAACGTCCGCTCGTGCCCCGCGACTGCGCCAATGACGTGGATGCCCTGCAGGAACACCTACGCAACACGCAGATATTACAAGAACGAACGTGGCAGGACGCACGCGACGAGGGTATAGAAGCGACGCGGCTCGAATGTCGTGGACTGCCGACGTGTCGGGCTGCGACCCATGGAGCCCGTGGCCCCAGACCCAGACGTCGCCGTCGACTACAAAAGTCGTGTACGACGATGATGGAAGGCGCTGAAGACGCACTCGTGATGGCGAGCGAGTGCCGCGCACCGGCGCTGACGCTCGTGATCTTTTCGCTTTTGAGCTCGTCGATGGCGCGCGGCACTTTGCTGTTCCAATTGTCGCGGTGCCCGAGCTGCCCGTGCGCGCCAAGGCCCCATGTATAGACGAACGCGCCGTTCTTTGGCGTCGGGATCGCTACCATCGTCGTGTCGACTTGGCCGACGCAAGCGACGTACCCGAGAGCGCAACGATGTGGGCGCCGCCGCATGAAATGGCTTTGATTTTCTAAATAGCACCAATAAGACGAATAAGAACGGATCGACGGTGTCGACCTTGCCACGCAACCCGCCGACGCGTGTCGGCTTGGGCTGATCTGCGCGGTCGTCACCATTGCCGAGGACGCTAGAAGAAGAGAATGTGTCGTGCGACGCTCGACGATCCAGTCGGCGGTACGTGTATTACCCGTGCTCGCCCGCGCCCCACACAAACACTTGGCGCGCGGCCAGGTTGTCTAATGTACGAATCTCAGATGCGAGCCGAGAGCATCTCTGTCACCGGTGAGCGCCACCGAAAACTCATCACCGGCACCGATCGCCGCCACAAAGAAGCGGTCAAATGCATCGAGTCGGACAGGCTCCCAGTGGTCCTCAGTCGTGCCTTTGGCGAAGTTGCTGTCCTCAACGTCTGATCGCAAAGGCGTACCGGTGCCGAGCTTGCCGTGTCGGCCGCCACCAAACGCAAAAAGCCCGTGGTGATCTGTGAGCGCCAAGACGTGCTGCCGACCGGCCGCGATCTGCGTGACGCGGAAGCTTGCGAGCGCAGCAACCACGCGCGGTGTGGCTTCAGACGCAATCGAGCCATGGCCCAAGACACCCCGGTCGCCGCGCCCCCACGAGTACACTAGACTCCATAAACCCAACGTCGTCCAAGCGTCTCGTACGTCGGTTGTGCTCGTTCATGTCTTTGGTCGCGTCCAAGGTGACCAAGGTGGACCGCTTTCGCCGCAGTATGGCGGGCTCCTGTACAAATCATCATGGTCTCCAGCAGCAGCTTGGCGCCGCTCACTTGTGCCTCGCGCTCCTTGGCCTCAGCATCTGCGTTGGCTTCCTGTGGTTTGTCTACGCACCGCGTTGACCGGTGCTTCGCCAGCTGTACCTACCGATGAGCGCAAACGAGGCGTACTCGGTCGCTGCGATGGCAATGATCTTGGAGCCGGTGAGGGGCGGGAACACGTGCATGACCGAGACCGGCACGAGCTCCTCCGTCTCGGCCGACGGTGTCGGCGCCGTGCCAAGCGCATGGTACGTGTTGTCGCCACACGCGAAAAGCTGGTGCGAGTCTAGCACGATAGAGGATCGATATTGCTCGAACCCACCTGCACCCTGTGAGGCAAAGATTGTACGAGTACCGGCGAGGAGGAGCGTATGGTATTTCCCCGACGCGACCTACGACGTCGCAGCGGTGAGAGACGAGGGCTCGTGCACGTCTTTACAGCGCGAAACTTGGCGTCGCGCTCGATCTTGGTCTTGCGCCGCGACGCGTCTTCAACGACAATTATCTCTCGCACCGGCGGCGCCACCTGCGGCTGTAGCACAGGCTCGGTCGATTGCGTGCAGAGCGCACCGCGCTCGGCGCAGCCCCAATGGTACATGATCCACTACGACCGAGAGGACTTGAGAGAAGGCGTGCGTAGCAGTCCTGTACTTGGTCGCGCGGCCCGACGACCGTCGCGTTGATGTCGCCAATGCGCCACTCTTCCTTGCGCACTTTGAGGCAGTCGCGGCAGTAGCAGCCCGTTTGGCCCGGCGAGTGCACCGTCTTGTCCGAGAGCTATGACGTGGCAGCGTAGTACGCATGCGTGCACATAGACGCGGCGTACACCCATGTATTCATTTGATGGCTTTTTCACTTCGTTCAACTTTGCTTGCAGCTGGAGGCGCGCGCGGACTTGCTTGCTAAAGTCATCCATCGCACGACCGTTATTTCCGCCAACGCTCTTGCCGGCTGCAGCTTGTATCCTCCATGTTGGCATTAAGTCACGATGCGCAAGTCGGCTGCTACCGCTTTCGTTTAGGAGCTAGGGAAGCGGCAACAAGGGACGCGAACTTGAAGGCGAAGTGCAAATGGCGTGTTTTTATCCACATCGGTCGGCGTGTCTTTGGTGAACCGATAGTGAACCGGTTGCGCATCACGCAACCTTTGCTCACCACACACGTCACAAATCGATTAAAATGAGCTGCCAGTATACAAATATCCAGTGCTGCGTGCGCCGGTCCCCCAATAGAATTAAATTTTTGACGGCCATTGAAATATAATATTTGAAAGAACCGGCGGATCTCCATTTTCCGACTCGCTCGTCGTCGACGCACGATGACGGCAAGGACGCCCTCCAAGGCGCACATGTGAGCTTGATGCAAGCGAGGGCCTGAGGTTGACGCGTGTATGTGCATGGTAGGCACGAGCTGCACAAGCGCCAGTCGCAGTCCACCACCCACGCCGTGCAGACCGAGACGGTCGCCACGCAGACCGACGCGACGGGCAACCCGGGCACGGGCAGCAAGAAGAAGAAGAAGAAAAAGAAGAAGAAGAAGAAGAGCGATACGATCAGCGAGCTCGCGAGCGAACGCGCGAGCGAGATTGGCCTCGAGGACGAGGAAGGCCATTCGGATAGTGAGGTAGAGAACCCTTGAAGATGACCGAGTAGCCGCCTATCAAGCTCCGATGTAGGACGAGTCGGTGACCGTGCTTGTGCGCAGCCATCGCTCCAACAGCGCTGAAGTCGAGATCGAGCGCAGCCAGCATGGCACTACCGTCACCGAGATCCCGTCCGAGCGCGAAGCCTACTTGAGCCTTCCGCTCTCGGTGCGTCTCGAGAAGGCGGCGTCGCACCCCGACTTTAAGGCTGGCCTTCATGGCCTTCTCGAGTGGAGCAATGCGCACCTTTCGCCGGACGTTGTCGACATCTTCTTCCAGAGCAAGGCGCTGAAGCTCCTTCTCGAGAATCTCTTCCGCGTCTGCCCCGTGCACAGCCATCTCTTTGACAGCCTCACGGCGCTCTTCGCCAACCTTTTCGCGGGCACGTACCCGTTTGAGCTCGCGGACGGCCGCAAGACGGGCAACATCAAGGCTGCGCGGCTCGTCGTCCAAAGCATCCGCTCCACTGTCGACTCGCTGCGGTCGCTCAAGCGCTACAAGGACAAGGCGCCGATGGTCGCGTCGCTCATCCCGCAGGTGTCGGCGTCGCTGACGAAGCTCATTGTGATCCACCAAGCGCAGAACGCGCTGCAGCCCTCGGACGGCTACGACCTCGCCAACAACATTCTCAAGCTCGACGAGACGCTGCAAGGCATGATTGCGACTGAGAATGCGATCCGCGGCCAGACGATCCGCGACACGTTCCGCCGCCGGGACCTGCGCGCGGACGCAGTTGCCGTCAGCGGGCAGCGCATGACATCGCTTCTGTCATTGGTCGTGCAGGCCAATGCAAAGCGTGCGACGAGCGTGGCCGCCACGCCCGAGCTGGCGCCGTCGGCTGCCGGCGGGATCCCGGCGCTGGACCTCGACGGTCAAGACGTGACGTCGATCGAAGCGCGCTTGAGCCAGCTCCACAAGGAAAAGGTCGCGCAGCTCGCGCCGTGGCAAGAGAAGAAGGACAAGGTCTCGAACGAGCTCATGGAACTCAAGCTTCTCCAAGACGAGCTCCGCAAGAAGCTCGCGGACGTCGACTCACGCCTGCACATCTTGCAGCACCTCCATGGCGACGTACGCTTTTCTATCAACGGCAGCGTGGGCTCATCCTTCAATACTGTAGATGGTCGGTGAGATGGCTGCGATTGACGCTACGTTCGAAGACGAGATTGGCCGCTTTGGCGCCGACAACATGGGAGTCGTGAGCCACCTCCAAGGCGTCGAGAAGAAGCAAGAGATTGTCGGCGCCTTCCGCGGGCTCCGCACGACGCTCGACGACCTCTCGGCGTCGGCGCTCCGGCACAAGGTGTCGGGCACGACGGCGCAGCACCTCGAAGGCGTTTTGCGCTACGTCTCGGCGCAGGCCATTTGCGTTCAGTTTACGAAGAACCGGATCGTGGACGCCGACACGAAGCGCACCAAGCTGCAGATGGAGATGCAGGCGACCGAGTCGTTGGGCGACGACGCGAGCAGCCTCGTGCAGCAGATTGCAGAGCTCAGCGCGCTCATTGCCGAAGACACGAAGAGCCTCCGCGCCGACATGGCCCGCGATACCGACCTTCGGACGCAGCTCGATGCGTTGTTGGCGACGCTGCAGAGCGAAGGCGCAAAGGACGAGGCGACGGTGAACGACGTGACGGTGGCCGAGATCCACGACCTCTTTGCCAAGATCTTTGGCGTCTATGCGCTCTACGAAGGATCGGCCGACGAGCACGATACGACCGTCGTTGAGCCCTCCGCTGCGCCGTCCGTTTTGGCGACCGAAGAAGACGAGCTTGAGATGCAGATCACGCAGGAAAACCTCGCCCGACTCGAACAAGGTACTATCTATCTATCGGTGTGCAGCCCGGTCTGACATGAATGCTTAGGGCAACGACCGACCCGAGCGGCCAAGCACTAATTCCTCACATACGGACAAGCGGAAGCCTTATATCTACTACTACTACAGTTGAGTGTTACACTTACGATTCGTTGTGGAGGAGCGAGTGGTAGCCCGATGTGATCAAGTTGATCTCTTCTTCCAGCTGGTACGTGGCGTCGGCTTCTTGCTGCAGCCGCTCCTGCAGCTGCTTGTTGCGGTGTTTGAGCGCCCGCAGGATGCTATGGTCCGTCTCGGCGCCCGGACGTCCCCTTGTCGGTGCACTGCTCCGCGGCTGCTCGTTCTCAGGTCCTCGCGACTCGATCGCTTCGGGCCCTCGCTGCTGTTGTGCTTGAGCTTGTTGTTGTACCATGGGCGGTTGTCGGAAGCCATCGTCTGTCAGCGACGGCGCGCGCGGCTACGAGAACTAGAGTCAACATTTGTGTTTCCGCCTATTGTCAAGACGACTTCGGTAGCAAAATGCGACGGGCGGTATCGGCTGGGGGTGTCGACGACCGGTGGCACCGACATGGGATGCGGCATTGGGCGAGACAACGGACGCGTCGCCGACGACGTGTACGGCAGCGGGTGCGTTGCGCCCCGGTGGACCGAGTAGTCGGCGATGATGGCGTTTTGCGATCGCTACAAACACTGCGATATGCACGGCTCGATGGACAGCGTGGTTCTGTCATACCAGCGCTTGCATCTCGGTCTCGAGCTCGAGGATGCGTTTTGAGAGCTCTTGGTTGGTCGCTTGCGTCTCGTGCAGCGTGCCTTTGAGGTCGCTCACGTGGTCAAAGTGCTGGTTCTTGAGCTCACGAATCTACTTTTGAGATGACACATTGGTGCCAAGTGGGGGTGTACAGTCTTGACGAGCACTTCGTGGTCTCGCTCCGCGTCCAGCACCTGCTGCTTGAGCGTTTGCGCCTACAAGGATCGGCCCTTGGTGTCTTGGTGAGTCCCATTCTTCGTTCACCTCGGTCGCAAACGTAGAATTGAGCTTTAGACGCCGGACGAGCGTGTCGCACCGTCGCTGAAGCGCGTCGTTGACTTGGTGCAACGTTGCAATCTGGTGTTGCAGCGCCTCCTTGATGCTCCGCTCTTCCTTGACAGTCTCTTGCACGAGCTACACATACGGTCGAGTGACTTGAACTTGGGACGGACGTCGTACATGCAGCTTGTGACGGTCGTTCGATTGAAGCGCAGCGGCATCGCGCAGTTCCTGTGCGGCCTTGGCCGTTGTCTCTTTGGCCGCGTGCGCTTGCTCCTCGACAGCCTCCAGCATGTGTTCCAAGTCCTTGATCTTGGCCTTGTCTATCGATGTCGTAGAGTGCGTGGTCGAAATCGAACAACGCTAACCCCGCTGGCTCGTCTCGCGGAGAGCGTCGACTTGGTGGTCCTTGGCCGTGAGCTCTTCCTGGAGCTCGTTGATCGTGCACGACAGCGTGTCCTGGATCTTTTGCATCTGCTCGCGGTCCCACTTGGTCTGGTGGTCCACCACTTGGCTCGTGTCGCACTCTATCGTTGTTCGAAGCGTGCCTTCTGTTCTTTGAAGAGGGAAATGCATACGGTAGGCGTATGCTGTCCGAGGCTTGGCGGCGTGCAAGTCCATCTGCGCTTGTGCGAGCTCGTCCTTCGTGATGGCAAGCTCTTCTTTGACGTGATCTAGCTCTTCCTGCAGCGACCGAATGTAAATCTAACGCATGTACATCGTCGAGCTCCATAGTGCACATGCCAAGGGACCATGTACCTGCGTGTCACTCCGCGTGGACGAGACGACCATGCTGGCATTGCCTACATGTCGCCACTTCACCAATGTGTATGCAATGGCGTCATGCGCACCGTCGATGATGGTGTTGAGCCGTTTGATCTCTCGCTCCGCGTCCTCTCGCAACTTGGCTTCTTGCTAGAACGCAAGACGATGTGCGATGCAATCACATGGGCGACGACCGTACCTTGACTTTTTCCGAGAGCACGGCGAATTTGCGACAGAGGACTTTGAGCTGCGTCGTGGCGGACGTCACGCACGTGGACGGCTCTGCCTGCACCTGCAAGCTCTCGCGCAACAGTGCGTCGTTGGTCGGGCTCGGCTTCTTGACCGTCGCGCTGCGTGTGTCCAAGTAGCCCACCTACGCTGCGTGAGACTCCGTCGCAGGCTGTGCCTGGACGCACCGGCGGGCGCTCCGTCGTGCGAATGTACGCGGGCCGCTGCTTGAGGCTCGGCGCACGCTCGGGCTGGGACGGCGCGGGCTTGGCCGCAGCGTCCACGGGCTCGGACATGGCAGAGTTGCTCGACTCGATCCTCGCGCCGAACGGTCGCGCGATAATTTTCTAGCCGCACTGCGATTGGTCACTTGCATTGCTTTGTATATATTATCTAACGATAAAAAGCGAGTGTGCTTGACTGGTATCCGGATAGGAAAGAGCCAATGACACGTCGTCGCACACTGGCCGATTTCTGCGCCGACGATGGCGGATCTTGGCTTCTTCCGCGCGTGGGCCGACGACGAGCGCATGGAGGCGCTCTACAGCTCGAGCGTACTCAACGACCATACCCTCGCCAAGCTCTGTAGCCCCTAGCAATCGTCCTCTCGTCGGCTAACGAGCTCTCCTAGGGCTCCCAGCTCTGCACTGGAGCACGCAGTGCGTCGCATACGCTGCATCCTTCGTCTCGCTCATGAGGTTGCATCACATGTAGCGGGCTACGGTACCATCCCGATGGCACGTTCGTCCAAGCGTGGCCGCCATCGTTGCTTCTGTCGCGGGACGAGCTGCCACGGCGCTTTGAGCGACGGGGCATTGAGCCAGTTCCCGTGGTCATTGACCATCTACTGGTCCATCGTCCATGCACTCCGTATATCAAAGCTAACATCTCTCGATAGACCGCGCTCGTACAAGCCCATGAGCTCGTGACGCCATCCGAGCTTCTCGAGCGATGCAATGCTAAGTCCAAACTCGGGTATGACGCTCACATTCCAATACCTACATACATCGACTCTACCTCTCGGTACAGGTGGTTCGTTGACGTCGCCGTCAAGCGGCCAATGCGTTGGGGCTGGGCGTCGCTTTGGCATGCGATAGCGGCGGAGGACGACAGTCGCCTGTCCCACGACAGCCCGTACCTGTCGCTCCCAACGCTTGCAAGCCTCGCGACACATGTGCACGCCTACGCGCTATCGACGCACGAGCCGCTGGCGCGCGTCTTTTGCCTCGGCCCTGATCACGTCACATGCGCGACCAAGGACCATGCGTTCCACATGCTGTGCCGCGCGGCGAGTCGACACGACGAGGCGTCTCCTCCGGCGCAGTTTTTGGCCGCCGTTGCCGCCGACGAACTCGACTATATCGCATTTTACCTCGTCTACACCAAGCGCGCGGTCATGCAGGCTGGGGTAGGCTACGAGATCATATATGATGGACGTTGTAGGACCGGTTATGGCTAGCTCATAAAGCTCGTCGTTCTGGATGCCACGGCCGATGCGATTGGTGACGGCGACCGCACGGTGCTGCTGCTGTACCATACCATTTCGACTGTCGAGACCGCGCTTGCCACGCTTCAGGCCCGCGTCTGGCTTGCGATGCATCGACTCTGTGCGCTTATATAGAAGCGTCTAGGTGGCCGCCGTCGCGGAAAAGGCTCTGGAGGCCAAGCGACGCGGCAGTGCGGCCGAAGCCCTCGCGCTCTGGCGCCACGCCAAGACGCTTCAAGCCGACGTTGACCAGCGCCAGAATGCGCTCGTGAACCTCCTCTCGACCAAGCACCAGCTCGGCGCCATGTCGGCGCAGGCCACGGTATTGGCGTCAAAAGTGCATGCCGTCACCCCGTTCCACGTGTGACTAGATCCTCGAAGGCTACAAGCTGGCTGCCGAGAGCCTCCGTAGCGTGCGCGCGTCCTTGCATCTCTCGACGGACGCGGTGGCCGAGACGCTGGCCGACTGGAGCGATGTCATGGACGAGCAACGGCACATGGACGACCTCCTCACTGCCCGTACGCTCCACCCTGCTTGCGTTCGTATCAACCTTGCTTTGATAGACGCAGACTACAATGTGGATGAGGCGGCGCTCGAGATGGAGCTTCTCAGTCTGGCCCCGCCAAGTCCGAGTCCCGTGGCGGTCTCAACAGCAGCGGGTCAAGCCGAGCCGGTCACAGCAGCCACGCCACCTCCAGCACCAGCAGCCGCACCGAGAACGCTGGAAGGGATCTCTAAATGAAACACTTGTATTCTTTTTTCACAGTGCGAACCCTACTACTCCTGGTCTGCGCGCTCGGCGGCCTAGGCGATATCAATCTTGACGCCGCGGCGGATCTCACCCCAACCGATGAGACGCCAGTGCTTGTCGATCCGTCGGCTCAGCGCAATCTTCTCGCCTTCCTGTGTGCACACGGGCTGCGTAAGCAAGATCTTGGCCAGATCCTGCTTGACGGCAATGATCTTGGCACCTGTCGTCGTCGAGCCAATGTTGATCATGAGCACTTCGGCCTTCGTGAGCTTCTGGACCTTGGAGGCCTTTGAGCCCTCCGACGTCTTGACACCGAGGAGGCGGCGGAGGAGGTAAAAGTTGATTTCGAGCTCTGTGAAGATGTCGGGCAAGCTGCCCTTGAGGCCAAGCACCTGGCCGACGAGGCGATCCGACCGCGTGAGCGTCGGGTCGATGAGCGTACCGACACCAATGAGACCGCCGGGCACCGCGTACTGCAGCTCGTTGTGCTCGGCCTTGAGCGACACGATGCGCGAAAAGATCGGCGTGCACTGCACCTTGCCATCTTCGTCCTTCGAGTAAATACCGGGGCGGACTTCAATCTCGTCGCCAATGCGGAGAACGCCCTGGAGGATCGACCCACCGGCGACACCACCCTGGAGGTTCTCCACGTCCTGGCCGGGCTTGTTGACGTCAAACGAACGAATGACAATGAGCTTGGGCTTCGAGACAAAGTCGCGGCGCGGGATCGGAATGTTGCGCACAATGTACTCGCAGACCACGTCAATGTTGTACTTCAAGACGGCCGAGATCGGGATGATCGGCGCGTCGTGGGCGACCGTACCAGCGACAAACTGCTTGACCTGCTCGTACTGGGCCTTGGCCGCGTCCGGCTTGATCAAGTCGACCTTGTTCTGGAGAATGATAATGTTCTGGAGGCGCATGATTTCGACAGCGGCCAAGTGCTCCGACGTCTGCGGCTGCGGGCACGGTTCGTTACCAGCAACCAAAAGGAGCGCGGCGTCCATGACGGCGGCACCGTTCAACATGGTCGCCATGAGAATATCGTGGCCCGGGCAATCGACAAAACTCACGTGGCGCTGGAGCGCCCACGTCACGCCCTTCTCGTCCGTGAAGCGGTCCGGCTTGGAGCTGCCAAAGGCAGAGTACATGGGGCCCGTCGGCGCCTCGTCCGCCTTGGCCGGCGCGGGCTCCGAGCGGTAGATCTTGGCGTTGGCATACCCGAGCTTGATGGTAATGTTACGCTCGAGCTCGTTCTTGAAGCGCACAGTCTGCACGCCCGAGATGGCCTTGACGACCGTCGACTTGCCGTGGGCGACATGGCCGATCGTACCAATGTTGATGGTCGCCTGGCGCGAGATGACCTCGGGCGTGAGCGGCGTGAGCGTCTTTGGGTCGAGCGCCGAGAGGTCCTGGACGGCCAGCTGCGAGTTGTTCATCGTCGAGGCTTGCGAATATGACTGGACGAAGGCGTAGTCAATGCTATCTCAGCCACTGAAAATCCCCGAAACCCACCATGTCCGGATGGACTTTACCGGATGACGGAATTTGATTGTGGCCGACCGCGCGGCCGAAGCGACAGGGCCGACGTGGCGCCGTCGCCTCGCCGGCCGGGTTGTGCTTGGCGGCCCAGCGAAGCGGCGCAGACGCTTCTTCCATCTCGGTCAAATGTGCTTGTGGGCGATAGCGGTCGTAGAAGCGAGGCCATCGCGTTCGTATGGCCTTGGCATGTGCGGAGGAAGACGACGTGGGCATGACGCACGGCAACAACCCTGCGGCAACAGCATCTCTCGCCAGTCCAAGAAGGTCTTGTAGCAGCATGCCATAGGAATCTTCGCGGCAATGCAGTATCGCACGTGCCTGGCTCGACCCGATGGCAAACACAACGAAGTCGAAAGGCCCATCATGTTATGCAGAGACCACAGTCTAGAGACCGTGGTCTGCCATGCGAGTACTGTAGCAAAAGACGCACTCGGTACTTGTCCTTAGAGAAGCGGCGATGCTTTCCGCTTGCTCGAGATGACGTTGTACATGGCTGCGTCCACGAGCCCCATGACCTAGTTCATAAGCTCAGTCGAGATGCATGAACCAAGATAAGCAGTAGTATGTACGGTGAAGACGCCGCCGACGATGGCGCAGACGCTGGTCAGGAACGGGACGAGTCCCTTCTGCGTCTGCTCGATGCGAAACTTGATGGGCGAGAACTCGTATGCAAACGTAATGCGCGGGAGCCCCTTCTGCCCCGTCGGCGTCATCTCCAGAAAATGCTCGGTCGCCGAGTACTGGTTGGACTTGATCTCGTCGCCGTTCAAGAACGAATAGTCGGTCGAGACAACCTACAGAATAGACAATCGTAACCACAGTTGGTAAGCTCGAGTGGCGGACCTTGAGAAAGTACTGGTACGCGCCGCGCGTGCCCTCGGCAAGGTGCTTGACGCGCGCGTTGAGAGGGTTCTTCATGTTCTACACATCGTGTTAAAAGGAGTCGAGCGCATGACGACGTACGGGGTACTCTTGGCCAAACGTGAGCGCGTGGATCGTGTGCGAGTTGTCAAAGACCTTGAACGTCGAGTCCAAGACATCGTCCGCGACAAGGTACCCGCTTTGAAAGATCTTGGACGGCGCGAAGTAAAACTTGCCAGCGACCTAATGCCCTCGCACGCATGCGAATGCGATCGTCTTTGCGGAGAGGGTACCTTGGCGACGTCCAGATGGCCCGTGATGCGGCAGCCTTCCTTGATGTCGCCCTTGAGGATAGACTCCAAGTCGGCGTTCATGCACTAGAGAGTGGCTCAACATTCGGCGAGCTTTCGACGCGTAGGAATATACCTGCACCACGTTGTGCAAGCTCGGGAGCGCCCAGTTGCGACGAACGTACGCGCTCTTGACGTCCTCGCACGTGTTGCAGCACTAGAGATAACGTGACGTGGCTACAAAGGCACTGCGTGACGGTGGCCGTACCTCGCCCGGATCGCCGGCGCCGTAGCAGTTGCCGCACTTGGAGCTACTCTTCGTTAGACCTCTTGGTACATGTAAAGGTGATACAGCGTACCCGTCGGATTGAACGGCGAGTTGCGACTCGTTGACAAGCGCACCACCAATCTAGCGGACACCGAGAGGTCAGGAGCACAGCCCTCATCATTGGGCATCCACCGTTTCTTTGATCTTTTCGCCAATGGCGTTGCCTACACACTCGCGAGATGATGGCTGTGCATGTAGAAGCGTTCGCTGTACCCTGAAGGTCCAAGCGCGTCTTGTGAATGTTGTCGATGACGTCGAGCTAGACATGCAATGCTCAGGAGGTGCAAGGAGGAAGAAGCGCATGACGTACTTGAACGCGGCCGGCAAGATCCGCATGTTCGATGGAGACGATCTGGCAGGGCATGCTACATGGAGCGTCGCACCTTCTTCACCGGTAGCGCGTATCGTACCGAGGAAACGCAATGTCAAAGTTGATCGAGAGATTCACATTGCGCGTGCCATCCACATACATCTTGTCGACCGTATCCTACGCACACATGTGAGCCCTATCGCTAGAGAGCAGCGCCGGGTCACGCACCACGGCCAAGTGGTAGGCAAGCTCCGAGAAGAAGAGGTAGGCCATGAGGATGAAGGCGCAGAGCGAGACTAGCCACAGCAGCATGAGACCATCGTGGCATCGAGGGTAGCGAGGTCGTACAGAGGCCGCCCTGGGTCGTGCGGACCTTGAACTCTTCGAGCGTCTTGGGGTTTGCGTCGAAGCCCTTGATCTTCTGCCACATCGACGCCATGCTGTTCGTCGTTCGGCGCTTCCGAGCGGAACACGTAAGTGCTCGAAGTCGAATTTGGTACCTACGAACTTCGTAATTGAGCTAAAAACACTCAAGTCCATTTGATTTTTGATTCGACTAAGAAATCAACCCACAGAAAGCCAAACGCACAATGTGACCGCAGGAGCGCGACAGTCGAGGCGACTGACTAGACGATTAACGGCCGTCGTCTCGTACATCTCTGCCCTTCGGTTTCACATTTGACACGTAGGAAGCAATATGCACCTCGCGCTTTGGCTCCTTGTGCTGCTGGTCGCGATGGCCGTCGACGCGATCGCCAATGGCTGTGAGCAGTGTCGTCTCACGGGACAGTGCGCGCAAGCAGCATACCACAACGTATCGGGCCACTACTGCGGCGAGTACCTTTCGCACAACGACAACTCGACTGTCTTGTGCTGCTGCCCCACCGGTCGTCTCTGCAACGCCACCACGACCACCTGCAACTGCGCCAGGCCCACCACGACGAACGAAGCTACGGTCACAACACCACTGGTCTGCCTGGCAGCGTTCTTTCTCGTCTTCTTCAGCGGGCTCATCTGGTGCAGCAGCCAGCGCAGCACGGCAGTGCACGATGCATCGTCCTACGTCCTCTACAAAGACACCGACTCGACGGAATCGTCGGCGCGCGAGAGCGAGATCGGTGACTTTATCGGCAGCCACAACGACAACGCGAGCAAGCAACTCAAGGTCCAGTAGCACACGCGCGGTGGGCTCGTCGCGTTAGACTTTGTATGGTTGGCTGTCGTGCATCGAGTCCAACTTCGTTCCTTTTCCTCGTATGTACACTGTCGTACTTGGTGTCAGGCGGTCGGTGCATGCGGTGCAGACTGGTCGACAACTTTGTTGGGTGGTGGAAGAGACCGGAGCGCGTCAACGTGAGCGGTCGACTATGAGTGATAGGGTCGTCGTGTCGTGCACCCAATTGGACGATGGCACTTGAAGTGCGACTCGTCTCGTCGCGCGACTAAACTATTCTACTAGAAAACCGCGCCGTCGCTGCCAGCCTTGGCCGTAGCGAATGCATCCATGCTTCAATGCCACGCGTATATACACCCGAGCAGCTGGTGCAACGTTGCAAAAGACGTCCGTATTGGCGGCTTCACGCGCGTTCGCCACCAGCCCTGCTACGCCACTCGGATGCAACGCCCAGCCAAACGTTCACGGAAGTCGCCGTTAAATAAGGATCTACTTGGATGAAGCGGGTAGCACTACCTACGTCTATGCTCGTTGCAGCAAGCGCTAAAAGAGCGTGGTCACGACCATGAGGAAGAGACCGAGGAGCAAGAGCTTGAACGCGAGGTCTTTGTCTGGCACCGCCTTGGTCTTCTTCTTCTTCTTCTTCTTCGTGAGCGGCGCCGTCGCGGGTGACGGTGCCAGCGAGAGGTTGAGGTCGACGTGTGTTTGGTCGCACACGACGTGGCTCGGCAGCGCTGCGTCCATGAGCGCGAGGCGCGGACATGTGTCAAGCGACGGCTTGGACGTGGCCGTCGCGATGACGAGGAAGCCGACGCAGGCCATGAGCACGAGGAGGCTCCGCGGGACGTCGTACAGCAGCATGTATGAGGCGCCGATCGAAATCGAAAATGGACGCTTCCTCGTTGGGTTCCAACCGGTGTCGCAGTCGAGTGATACAAACGCCGAGATCATGTCTCGTATCCGGATAGTCCGGTATATCTTCCGGTTGGCACCGTTTCGGCGCTAATTTGAGGCCCTTTGCCGCGCCAAAATGGTGGCGTTCAAGGTCTCCAGGTCCTATCTTGGGCTCATGGGCAGTACGAGCTATCGATGGACTTATGACCTTGAGACTATGGTAGACGAACCCTCGAGACGCGCAGGCCATCGGGTGGCATGAACTATCACTGTGGCAGAGCGAATTTCGGAATGCATTGGTTACGCCACGACGATCAATCAAGCTGGCTGGATCGCATTCGGCGAGGCTACTGTGACCGCCACTATAATCACCCCGCAGCCAGCCTTTCAACAACGTAGCAGGTGCAAGAGCAAAGGCTCCGGCTCGCTCTAGCTACTGTATATTTAAAGGAGCTTTGGTTTCGACACTGCACAAGTAAGTTGGCGCTGTGCAGCTGGACTACAAGTGACCACCACGAACTGCAGAGCTCCGGACCATCACCTACTTGAGCTGGAGCGTGAAGGATGAGGATACCGAATATAGCCTCGGTCCGCCATCCTCCTCATCGCTTGGGCTGCGCTTGCACTTGGCGCTACAAAGCTGCACTTGCTCGATTTCGCAAAACAACCCTGTGCAATACTCTGTAATCGTATATTTCGATATTTGCTTTCAGAGGTACTTGCACTTCCAACACACCATGGACACGGAGCCGAAGAAGAAGAAGCGCCGATGCGTCTCCAAGGCCGAGCGCTTGGCCAAGCGCATGCAAGCAGTCTCACTGCAGGAAGACGAGAAGTTGGCGCAGGTCGAGGCGCTCTGCGCGACCGACTCGAGCCAAGACTGGGACGCCGCCCATCGGCTGGCCACGTCGCCGACGACGCGCGCGGCCTTCCTCGCGATCTTGCTCCAGAAGCACCAAGCCAAGGCTGCCGCACACTACACACGCCGGTGGGATCCGCCAGAGGATCTCTCGCGGCTGCTGGAGAACGATCGTGTCCTGGCGGCGTTGCACGCCCATGCCGCGACGGCCGCGACCTTTCTGAGCGCGTGGCGCGATGCGCCGGTTCCGCCCGCAGCGCTGCGCACGCTTCTCCTCGACTTTGTGCTGCCATGGATCGAGCGCAAGGAAGACGCGCCACTGCAGATCCTACTGCACCAGTTTGCCGCGCTCAAGTGGCGCCTCCTGGACCACGCGCTCGTGACCACGCAGGGCCAGCACCTCGTCAACCAGTTCGCTCACGTCGTACGCAGCCTCTACGACGAGCCCGAGATCGCGCGACCACTGACTCCGTGGCTCGAGACAGTCTCGGCTCCGATCGACGTCCATCCTCGCGAATATGTGCGCAAGCAGGTGGAAGATGTCTTGCAGCGCGTCTGGCCCGACGCGCGCGTCCACCTCTTTGGTTCGTCCGTCACTGGCCTCTGCGCGCCCGACAGCGACGTAGACCTCTGCGTTCTCGTGCCATCGGCGCCCGGGCGCTTTGCCGACTCGGTTGCTCTCGCCGTCGATATGCACGAGCACCTCTCGCTCTACCTGCCATCACCGCACTCAATGGTCGTCAAGAACGCGCGCATCCCCGTCATCAAGATGCACTTGCATGGTCTCGATGTGGACATTTGTATCAACAACACGGCCGCGCTCTGGAACTCGCAGCTGCTCGTGGCCCTCTTCATCGCGTACCCTGCCCTGCGCCCGCTCTGTGTGTGTCTTCGGTCGTGGGCCGCGCGCCGGTCGCTGCTCAAGTCGTCAACGTGCTCGCATTCGCTCTCGCCGTACGCCTTTGTCTTGCTCATCGTGTACTGGCTCCAAGTGCGCGGGTACCTTCCGTTCGTTGATGTGTCCTTCGACGACAGTCTGTCGGTTCCCATCGCACGTATCGATGACGCGATCGCGTCCGCGCTGGACGAAGCGCTGCCGCCATCCAAGACGCTCGCGACGACAGCAGTGCCGTCGCTGCTCGTCAACTTTTTCGTCTTTTACGCGGCCGACTTTGCCAACAACACGGACATTGCGTCCCTCCGGCGCTGCGCTTTGCACAAGCCCAAGCCCAATGGCACGCTCCATCTCGAGGACCCGATTGAAGTCGACCGCAACTTGGGCACGTACCTCAACAAGCTCTCGCAGCGCACGCTGCGCCTCGAGTTTGTGCGCGCGTGCGTCTTGGTGCACCAGGCGTTGCATCCCGAGACAAATGTCGCGCGCGAGGCGGTCGGAAGCCTCTACTTTGGACGCGATGCGAGCCTTCCAGTGCCGACGCGGTCGGTTCTCGACGTCTTGATGCGACCGCGCGCATCGCATCACTTTGGCTGGAGCATGGCCGGAGATATGATTGCGTCCGAAGCGTTCACAACGGTTGTCGTCACGGCGCTCGACGCGTTTCCAAGTCTGGCCGGCGTCGATGTCGTCGGCGTCGACTGCGAAGGCGCCAACCTCGGCCGGTCCGGGTCGCTCACCCTCGTCTCGCTTGCGATCGGGCCGATCGTGTACCTCGTGGACGTACTCACCAACCCATTACTTCTTGGCCCTCTCAAGCTTTTGCTCGAGAGCCGATCGATCGTCAAGGTCCTGCATGACTGCCGGAAAGACAGTGACGCGCTGCTTCACACGGCAGGTATTTCGCTTACCCACGTCTTCGACACGCAGGTAAACTGTGCGCTGGTCCGTGTGAACGCTCAATGTACTTCTGCAGGTCGCCCATGCAGTGCTGCACCAGCTGCGCAAGCCCGCGGCCAAGGACGATGGCCGCCATCTCGTGGTACGCACCCTTTTCGACGGTGGGCGAGTGCAAGCTTGTTGCGTAGGGACCAAGCGCCAGTGTCATTGCGCTCGACAATGCCAACCACGAATGCGTCGCGTACGCGGATGTGTTGAGCCACTATTTGTCACTGCCGCCGTCGCGCGTCAAGGCCAGCGTGAAGGAAGCCATGACGAGTGACGACGCGACGTGGACGCGCCGGCCTCTCTCCGCCGACCTCCTCGAGTATGCCGCGATGGATGTTGCCTATCTGAGCGTCTTGCACCGCCTCATGACCCATGCGCTTGGCCCGCACATGGGCTTGTGTGACGCGCGTGCGGCTGCGTATCTCGGCTGCCGCGACTGGAGCTTTGCACCAACGCGACTGGTTGGCGCCTCTGTGCCTGGGTTCATTCACAACATTACGTCCAAGTATGTGTACGTGACACTGTCGCCGTCCACGGTCGGGCTTCTCTCGACGACCGACGCGGTCAAGGCACCGGTCAGCGACGACATGCAAAAGCTGGCGGTGGGCGACGCGATCACTGTCGAGGTCGGCCACGACCGCAGCGTCAAGTGGATCTAAGACCGCCAAACTTCTTTGATCGTAATCGTAGTACGGTTGTGCATTAGGTCGAGGCTTTGGACGATGCGTCGCCGTCGTTAAATATTTCGTGGAGTGCGCACCGGTTGAGCATTTGGTGTTTGAGCAGCAGTTGTCGCCGGTTGATGTGCGCGTCAAAGGTGTTGATGCGCGACGAGAGCACTTCTTCGCGGATGTCGGTCTGCAGCGCCTTGAGGATCTCGACCATGCTCGGCCGCGCTTTCGGGTCGTCATCGAGGCAGCGCGAAATGAGCGCGTGCCGCTTGGGCGGACACGTCGACGGAATCGTCGGTCGGCGCACGCCACGCGCGACCTGGGCCATGATGTCGATCGTGCTCATGCCGTCGCAGTCAAAGTACGGGTCCTTGCGCGACTCGAGCTCAATGAGGACAATGCCAAAGCTGTAGCAGTCGACCGGTGTGCTGTACGGCGTCTCGCGCAGAATCTCGGGGGCGAGCCAGTACGGCGTGCCGACCATGGTGCGGAGGCACTCTTCCATGTGAATTTGCTTGGATTCGCCAAAGTCCGACACTTTGCAGGCGTACGTCGCCGAACAGAGGAGGTTGGCGCTCTTGAGATCGCGGTGGATGATGTTGCTGTGGTGCAGATACGCCATTCCCTAGTCAACACATCTCAGCTAATGTGTTGAGGGAGAGCGCAAACCTGCGCGGCGTCGTTGGCGATCTGTAGCAAGGGATCGTTCCACTCGAGCGTCATGGACGACTGCAGGAGCGAGTGCACGTCGCCTTTCTCCATGTACTCGAGCACGATGCAAAGGTTCGAGATCGAGTCGATGCTGGCGCCAATGAACTGGACGACGTTCGGGTGGCGGAGACCCGCGAGGAGCTCAACGTGCGCCTTGAACTCGACAATGGTCTCGCGCGTCAAGACGCTCAGCCTACGACCATACGATGTGAGTTGCAACACTTTGGTGATGGCGTCTACCGCTTGATGGCGACGCGGAGACCCGTGTACTCGCCGCGCACAACATCGCCTTTCACGTGCTCGCTCACGAGCTCGTGGAGCGTGAGCTCTTCAAACGGGATCGACACGTTGTGCAAAAACTCGTTCTCGGGCGACTTGGCGTGCAGCAGCTAATGCATCAAACATCCTTGGTACCGTCGTCCTCGAACGCACGAGGGACGTACTTCTTGGAGCAGCTGCTGTTCAATGGGGCCGACGCGGCCGCGGGTCGCGAGCTGCTGGCGGTTGACCGTGACACCGTGTTTGAGCGCCGTATTGACGCGTTCGGCGTCCATCTTGGAGTAAAACGTGTAGCGCGCGGCGCGGTCGAGGAGGTAAAACGCCACCAGCGTGAGCACAATCGGGAGGCAAATCGCAAAGACGAACGCGACAAAGTTCATCGACATGAAGATCTCGTACGAGCCGGCGTTGATTTTCCAGTTGATGACGTACACAAGCGCGGCCGAGAGCAGGACGAGAATGACCTACCCCTCGTCGTCATCAGCCACACTTGACTCGATCGTACCTGGGGAAAATCGAGCTTGAGGCTCAGGCTGAACAGAATCGTGTCGGCGACCGCGTTGCACGCAAAGATGATCGAGATGTACTCGTTGAGCATGTCAATGTACTCGAGGCGCCACGCGGCCAGGGTCGTGGACCCGTTGTTGTCGACCCAGTACGCGGGCGCGGGTACGTTCCTGCCACACGTTTGATGTTGGCTCCACGCGTTGCGCTCGGTTTGGGATCGCTGGAAGACTGTGCCAAGGTAGATGAGCTTGCCCGTGCAATAGAGCGTCACGACGAGCGTCATGCAGTGCTTCCAATAACGACGGGCCCAGTACATGAGCAGCTTGCTCTTGCCCCACGAATTGAGGAGGCGGAACGGGATGAGCGCAAGGCCGAGAGCGAACGGAAAGTACATGAAATGCACGACAAGCAGATCCTCGCTCGCGAGGTACTCGAGGCCATGGAGGCCCTTGTAGTACCCGTCGTAGTTGACGAGGCCGCTGGGCGTCAATCGCGGCGACGCGCACGTCCACCAGACTGAGAAGACCAAGTGCGAGCCAAAGACGAGCGCTAGAATAAACTGCGACTGCCCGATCGCTTGCTGGCTCACGTCCATCTGATAGAGCTCCTCGGTGCGCGGGTTCCGGAATCGATTCGAGAACGGCAAGAGAAGGCTAGGCGCGTCGGGGCGCATGGACGCTGTCGTTGTGAGCGGCCCACGGAGCGACTTGACCTCGCTCTCGAGGGCGGCGCTGCCTTGTCGCTTGCTCGAGAGATGCATGGGCGTCTCGAGCGAGATGGCTACATGGTCCGAGTTGCTCGAGCTGTCCATGTCGCTCTGTATCCTTGGCGTCTCCACCATGTCATGCTCTAAGGGCAGGCGCTTGGCCCAGAGCGACCGCGGGTTCGTGCAGAGCCGCCGAAGCATCGCCGCTTGCTGGTCCAAAGGCTTCTGTCCCGGCGCAGGTGGGAGTAATGCTGGCGTGTAAAATACAGAAAACTCGGCGTTTGTATGCTGTTTAAAACACCAGTTGTTTTGATCCACCTTGAGCCACGCCAGATCCAGACAAAGAATTAAACTATCTTGCTGGTTCTATGCCACATACTATATTTTAAAAGAATGCATCTCGCCGACTCAGATCTGCGCTCGTTTCGGGCTGGGCCGAAAACAAGATTGCACTTGAGCTCGAGCCTCGCAGAGGTGACGAGAGAGAAGACGACCGCGGATGGATGGACTCGCTAATGGACATTGGGGATGGGAAGGCGCAATCACAAGAGGTTGGATACTAGTTGTCGTACGTACCTGAACCTCGCAGCGAATCAAATGCAGCGTTCGGCGTGTCCATGGACCCAACAAGAAATCGTGTCGATGACATCACCACGCCAATGAGATCCGTCCGAGCACGTGAAGCTAGCAATATAACGTTCAATAGCTACGTCTCTCTAACCTGTACAAGGCCTCGACTTGGCCCTCGTTAACAAGCAAGCAAGGCGCTCGACCCGAGCGTAGAAAGGTCATGTCAGAATCTGCCCGATCGCAGATGGTGGCAGGGAAACGAGCGTCCAAATCGTGTCTGCACCATACAGTGTATGTTAAATGAGGACAAATCCGAAATCAAAGCCAACAAATCCCAGGACATATGACCTGTTAGAATACATATATTGTGATACTGTATTGGCATGTTGCTCTCTCCGATCTTGTGAGATATCGAAAGTGAGAGGGTCTCTTTTGATGTGAGGGGCTTGTTCCAGTTTGGTGTCTTGGCCGGAAGCAACATGATCTTCCTCGAGAACGAGAGCAAGATTGTACAGGAAGTCCTGCAAGGCCGTCTCGGCGAGGCGTACGTCCTGCCCCATGAAGGCTATGCACCAAGGCTATGCGTCTCATGCTGCATGCAACGTAGGGCCCCTCGCCCCGTCGAGCCGCTGGAGATCCGCCTTTGCGATTTTGACGGTAGGCGCCACGCCCAAGGCGAAGCGCCTCATGGCCGTCTGTAGATGTCCAATATGACCTCTCGATCCAAGAGAACACGCTGTCCGTGTCCATGTCGTACCCGCCTGTCGTGGAGCTCGTCAAGTAGGCGACCCTACCTGGCAAGCATGCACTAATCTGAGCGTAGGTTTGGCGCCGCCAACATGTTGGCCAGCGTCTACCCCGAGTTTACGCTCACGGCGCCGAAGCCTGGCTTTGACTTGACCATGGTGGCCAACGTCGATGCAATCACGCCCGAGAATGCCAGTAGGCCATGACGGCGTCCCCTTCTATCGATCTCACGCACCCGCGGTAGCCAACGTGATTGACCGCATCTCACTCCTGAAGCGCAACCTCCTGAGCGCCCCCTTTGACCAGTACGTGGGACGCGTCCGACTGGCTCCATGAACAAACCACACGTCTTTGTGTAGCTGCTTCCTCGCACTCCACGCCGATGCGAGCAGCTCGCTGAGCCCGATCCAAATCCCCTTCCGTCGCCAAGAAACCATCTACGTGTTGCCGCAAGCCGACCGCATTGTCATCGTCTTCTCGGTCGCGTTCCAGGACAAGACGGACCAAGCGATCGCGCGCATCTTTCTCCAGGTCCGTGTCTCTACCCCGTCCGGTCGCACGCGTTACACTCTTGCCTGCCTAGGAGTTTGCCGAGGCGCGTCGCCACGTCAACAATGCGCCGCCGGTGAGCTTTGGGAAGGACCCGCCGCTCGAGCTCCGCGGTGTGCCCAATTTGCGCCAGTCGACGGACCACGTGGGCTACCTCAGCTTTGGTATCTCGCTTGCTATCGCATACATCACTAATAATGAATCTCTAGCCATCTTCAAGACACACATCGACACGGATGCAAAGCGCGCCAAGGCCTGCACGCTCATCCAAGGCTTCCGCAACTACTTGCATTACCACATCAAGGCCTCCAAGACGTACATGCACATTCGCATGCGCAAGCGCGTCGACTTGCTTCTTCAAGGTGCTACACACTGTGGTGCATGCCTGTGGCTCATGCTCGCTCTAGTTCTCAACCGCGCGCAGCCCGCGAAGGATCCGTCCAAGGCCACGAAGAAGACCATTACCGGCAAGACATTTGATCGCAAAGTGTAAGCTGCTGCCGTACCACTGCGTTGTACCTGCAGCGTCGTACAAGAAGGATGTAATGCAGTCGCATGACGTCGTCGTCGTTCTACGTCTTGACCGACTACAGGTTGCGCGCCGTCAAGTAGTCGGCGATCGCCGTGCCCACGGTCGCGTCGAGGTCGAGCTCCATGATACCGTCGCTCGACTCGGCGAGGCCCAGCTCTTCCTCAGAGCAGATCATGCCCTGTGAGACTTCGCCGCGGAGCTTGGACTTTTTGATCTTAAGCACCTTGTCGATGAGCGCGGTGGCGTCCTCGGGGTTGGGCACGCGCAGCGTGAGGCGCGTCCCGATCGTCGCGACCGGGACCTTGAGCCCCTCGCGTACGTTGGGCGCGCCGCAAATGATCTGGACAGGGTCCACTTCTACTTGGTCATAATGTCGTTGGTATATGCGAAGACGCAAGGCGGCGTACCGGGGCCGACGGTGACTTGGCACACATGCAGGCGTTCGGCTTGCGGGTGGCCCGTGACCTTGAGCACTTCGCCGACGACGACGCCGGGCAGACGGGCGGGCTTGGGCGCAGCGACGATGGGCTTGGGCACGGTGGTGGTGCTGCAAAGGCGGACAAGGCCGCGCGGGCGAAGCATGGACCGCAGCATGGCAAGGATGAGGAGCGATGGCCACAACTCTTGAAGTTTATCCGGATCCTCCGGATACCACGAATTTGGCGCGATGCTCCAAGGTCGAGCAAGAATGCGCCGAGAAGGTCACACGACCCGGAGGGCTCTGGGCAAAAACACTGGAAGAGATTTTTGCTGTTGGTGTCGTCAGGTTGTTGAGGTGTATCGTTAAATCACGGCGCCAACGGCCGCATCAATATTTGTACACCTGAGGACGCCCCAATTTTAGGGGCGGTGTTATTCGTCGGTGTTAGTTCGTAGAGTAGGACGCTATGGGCGAGCTACTCGTTGAACAGCTTTGATGCGTCGGCGTTTGGAGGACCTGGGTCGATCAATACAAACGACTTGGGCAGCTGCGAGAGAAACGCAGGTGGCGGGTGCTCGTTCAAGCGTGCAGCTGCGTGCTCGAAGGCTCTTCCTGCGAAACAAATCGACCGCACACTTGTTCATGAACTTCTTTTGTCACATCTCATGACGCCACGTCACGGCCTCGTCACGCCGAAGCAAGGGCACGCGACACGTCGATCCTTGTCGCCCGAACGGCGCGGCACGACCGCCGTCTCAGAAAGGCAAGCTGCTGAGCCTGGGTCCGAGAACGGAAGCTTTGCGGTGGCTTGCCCATCCAACGGCCCCCGCATCACGCTGCTGCGGCGGTGACGTAGAGACTCGTTGAAAGAGCTCGAACAAAACGACGCTCTGGATGCTGGAGCGGCCAGTACGCTGCGGCGGCAAAAGATACTTGCTTGCCATGACGAGTCGCGCACCACATAGACACTCCAGAGTGGTAGCACCGCCTTCTTCTTCGACTTCGTGGGCGCCAGATCCAAATTTTCGCGGGTGGCGATGAAGGCGCCCGAGAGCCCCGACCGCCTCTCGTGGTCGTCGGGCATGCCCAGCATCACCAACTCGCTCACGGCGTGGACGATGCCAATCTACGAGATGGACGACGACTCGACGCTCGGTGAAACCTCGTCCGGCGGCTTTACGCTCCAGACCGATTCGCCGCGCCAAAGCCGGTCGCGCCGCTGGCTCGCTACATGCCTAATTGTCTGGCTCGCCGTGTGTGGCGGCGCCTCCATCGCGCTCGTCCTCACGCTGCAGCACACGTCCACCGCGCCCCTGCCAACCACCACCATTAACAGTACGACGACGACGACCATTCTTCTCGTTCGAAACCAATGCCAATCCGGCATCGACATCTACTACAGCCTGGACGCAAGCGAAGACCATGTCGTGGTCACCACCAACACCTCCATCCCAATCTCTACCAAAGGCCTGGCCAGCATCTCGGTGCGTCTCGGCGCATCGACGAATGCTACACGTACGTCGCCCCTTGTCGCCAAGCGCAAGAGCTTAAAGTACTCTACCCATAGGGTTTGCGTGGCTACGCCGTGAGGCGCAGCTCGCGAGCTACAGCATCACAACAACCGACGGGTTCAATACGGCCATGGCCGTGAAGTCGAGCGAGCCAAGCGCCTGTGCCGCAGTGACATGTCTTGCACCACCATGCTCGACTACCGCCGTCACTTGCCCGTCAACGACGCCTCTCGAGGTCACACTTTGCCCTGTCTCGGTCTAGTGGGCATTATTTACTCTTTTAATTTAGTTTTTGTCAGATTACATTCAGTCGCAACTACGGATGAACATTCGTACTACTAGTAATATAGCAGCTTGTGCTATAAACTTACGAAGACAATAGCAGCTTGGGCTAGACAATGAAGAAGAGTGGTGCCGTGGTCAAGTCAACGAGGTGCGCTTCCATGCGTGGGGCTTGTGACGTGGCAAAAATTTCGAGTCCCTCGAAAACTTGATATTACACCCTATCCAAAATGAGGGTATTTTGTAGAGTCAACTGCAAGCGGAAGGATCCGAGGTACTCGTCCGCGCACGACGCGCGTCGGCCTCATGCACATGGCCGCGTAGGTCGATAGCTCTATATGCGCGACGCAATGCTACGCGTTGGCCTCTTCTGTGGCATCTTTACGCTGCAATGGTACGAGAGCCCGGCAGCGACCCATCGTCTTGACCTCGTGCTACTAGCTGCATCACGGTGCTCGGCAGCGTGACCCGCGATACGATCTTCCTGCGCATCTACGACTCGCGCTACATCTCGCACATGACAGTCCTCATGTCGTTTGCGTCCGCGTATGCCATGACGGCGGCCGCGCGCCTCCTCCAACGCGGTACGATCGATGTCCAAAGCGCGCTTCCCACAGGCGACGTAGGCGTGCGCCCGACGGTTCTCGCGTGCGGCTTTCCATGCCTCTCGTCACTGATTATGGTCGGGCTTTGGCTACTTTTGACGCAGCTTCCGCAGCTGCTGTACCTCTCGAGCATCGCGCTCTACGTCTGGATTGAGATTGCGATCCAGCTTCTCTCGCAGCAGTTTTGGGACCTCTGTGCCGCCGCGTTCACGGTCGCCGAGTCCAAGCAGTACTTTGGCGCTATCACATTTGGCTCAACGCTCGGCACGATCTTTGCCAGTTTTGCAATCATCCCGCTTCTCAAGGCATATGCGATTCCGACCGAAGGCAACGTGCTCGTCGTCGCACTGCTTATGGGCGTCCTCGGCGCCTTTATGTGCTTCGTCACACCCCTCTTTGGCCTCTCGCCGCGAGTCAAAGCCAGCGATGGCGCTTCGTACATTTTTGCTTTTTCTACGATCTGAGTGGCTGAGGTTGTTGTAGGAAAGCGGCGTCGACGTCGTCGATCGTGTCGGACATTCAGAATCGGTCGTACCTCAAGCACGTGTGCTTCTTTGACATGGGCGCGACCTTGATTCGCGTTCTCGTCGACTACCGGACGCTCTCGATCCTAAGCACGCACTCGGAAGAGACGCTCAAGTACTCGCTTGGCGCGATCAACGGTGTCCAGAGCTTCTTTATGATCCCGCTCCAGGTAGCATATTTGGTGGTTTTTGAGAAAAAGCAGCTGACGATGGAAGTAGCTGGTGTCGGGGCCGCTCTTTTCGTACTTTGGCGTCATGTACGGCATCTCGACGCTACCGTTGGCGATTATTCTCTATGGCGCGTCGACGTACTTGTCGTCGGTACGTATGGTCGTCGTTCTTTGTTGGCGGTTGACAGAATGTCGTAGTCGCACTTGCTTTTGATTGGCACACGCGCGCTCTACAACAGCGTGTCGCATGCGATCTTCAACCCGGCGCGGGAGCTGCTCTGGCTGCCGCTCAACGCGACCGACCGGACCAAATTCAAAAGCTTTGTCGTCGGCCCGTTCCGGTCGATTGCTCGTGTGCTCGGTGCGCTCATTTCGATCGTGCTCACGTCCGACACGATGCAGCGCTACTGCGGCCCTCGCTCGGTCAGGTACCTTTTTTCTTTTGTATCGAGGTATCGAGTTGAACTAGTGTGGTCATGGTGCTCTTTGGCGTCGCGTGGTTCTTTGATGCACTCGCCGCGCGGCAGTCGTATGCGACCGAGTTTTACGCATCGCTCAAGAAAGGTCACATGGACCTGACGTCGCCCATCATTGACTTTACCACTGACCAAGTACGTTTGCGAGCGTCATGACGCGTCATTGCGATTGCGTAGGTCGAGCTCGTCCAAGAGACGCTTCGGAGCGGCGCGTCCAACCAAGTGGCTTTTGTGCTCAGCTTTCTGCAGCCGTCGCACGTTCCGCTCTTCCGCAGCGTACACTTTTTGCTTGCATGTCGTTTGGGCTTGAAAGAAAGTTGGGTGTAGGAGCTACGGGCTGTGTTTACGATGCCGGACGCGTCGTTTCACACGCAAATGCGCCTCATCGAGCTCCACGTGGCCAGCGCAGAGACTTCTAATGACGAGTCCAAGCGGATTTTCACTGTGGAGGACCTCCTCGCTGTCTATGACGATTGCGCCAAGCCGCAGGAGCTCCGCCTCGCGTGCCTTTTGGCGTGCGGCCACGAGCGCGGCGCATCGACGGACGCCCTTGCCGATGCACTGCACAACGCCAGCGACGTTTCAATGGTCGTCGGTGCGGCGATCGCGCTGCTCCGGCGGACGCAGTGGATGGACGAGAAGGCGACGGTCGTGCTCCAAAAGCTGCTGCATGAGCCCCGTGACATTGAGGCAAAGGTCGTGTGCCTCCGCATCGTGGGCAAGGAGCTCCCGGAGCTCCTCGGCAACGGGTATCTCGTGTACCTTCTCCACGAAACCCAAGCGCCGTCGATCGTTCGCGCGGCGCTGCAGTGCTGTCGGCAGTCGAAGCGAACGTCGCCGATGCTGTTGCCCGCGCTTCTCAAATGGCTGCCCGACGCAACGCTGCGCACCGACGTCATTGACGCCCTCCAAGCATTCCCGCCCTCGGTGCTCTGGGAGTACGTGGTCAACTTTCTCGACAAGGCTGTCGCTGACGTCGCCCTCGAGCGCATCATTGGCGGGCTCCGGCTCGTGGAAGCTGCGGCGTTTCCGTCGGACGCCAAGCTCGACCTCGTCCTCAACATGATGGACTCGCTTCTCGCCAAGTCGAGCACGCCGTCCGAGCTCCAGCTGAGCCAGCTCTTTGGTCTGAGCCAGGTCGAGCTGCCGCTCTGGGAAGCCCTTGCGGACGCGGTGCTGCGGATCGTCGACCACCTCCGGGAGGACGACAGCACCGACGTCCGCGTCTTGGTCAAGCGCATGGACCACATTGTGTCCACCCACGTGTTTCGCGGGTATCAGATGCAGCACCTGCGCCTTCTCTTCGAAGACCCGCACCACCACACACTGCTGTCGCATGTCGTGGAAGACACGCTGGACGTGCTGCTCCGCATGGTGCTCAAGCTCGCCTCGGTGCGGTTCCCAAAAGGCTTCAACATCCACGTCCTCCTCGAGGGCCTCCACGCCGACGTGCCCGAAGTGCTCTCGGCCGTCCAGGTACGAGTCTTACGGATACGAATACGGCTGAAACGTGGATCCACGGTTAGGAAGTCCTCGAGACGCTTTTACCATCAAGTGCCAAGCATACGCTCTTGCCGCTGCTGTTTCCGCACGCCCCCAAGGCCCCGATGGCGCTGCAGGTTGCGTGTTATCAGACGTGTCCATCTGACGTGCTTGGCGTAGCTGCTCAAGGACGTCAAGAAGATCCAAAGCACGCTGCGCAACGACAGTTTGATGCGAACGATGCAGGACGACAGCATTGCGCTCGAGCTCTCATGCCTCGCGCTCGAGTACTACCTCCACGCAACATCCTGCCACGACCACGACCACAGCGCCGAGACGGCGCGAGTGCTCACGGAAGCCCAAGCCGACCGTCTCTTGGCGCATAGCATCACCAAAGACTTGGTGTGCCGCGCGTTCCAGTGCGTCATCACCGACGAGTTCTTCTGTGTCGTGACGCACTCTCTCCGTAGAGACCCGCAGTGCCGGCGCGCCAAGGCTTTAGAACACCTCTTTCAACGAGCTACGATGGACGCGGACCTCGCACCACTGGCCTTTACGACCTTTGACGTACGTGACTTGTTGTCTCGGCGTCTCAAGACAGGTCTGTCGCTGTGGTAGGTGGTCATGAGCCTGCGCGCGTGTGCACTCTTCCGATCGATCGCGGTGCTGGAGCTCGTGCAGAAGATCGCGTGTCACTTTGAACCGCGTCGCGTTGTCGCCAGCACAACCTTTGTCGAGGAAGGCGACATCGGTACGCCGTTCTCTCTCATATAAAAGGCAGCGCATCCATGCCTGTCGTAGCGTCCCAAATGTACGTTTTGGCCAAGGGATCGGTCGAGCTCCATCAAGCCAACGGCAACGTCCTCACGACACTTCATGACGGCGCGTGCGTCGGCGAGCTCGCACTGCTGACGAGCAAAGGCAAGCACTTGGCGTCCGCGACCGCGACGACCGACGTGGTCGTGCTCGAGATCTCGCGCGCCAATCTGCACGCGCTCATCCACGACAACACGGGCATCGCACGCGGCGTTCTGGACGCGCTGGCGTCGACCTTGCGCTGGACGTACCTCCAGGTACCTTTTTCTATCCATGTTGAGACAAGGGTTCGGTTGATATCTTGAGCTTCTCTGGCAAACTAGCTCGAGTCGACCGAAGAGACGAGTCGACTGAAGCGCCTAGTCTTTGCGTCGCAAGTGTCGGTGGCCGCCAACGTTGATCGCGCGGCGAGCAATTTGCTCGCCAAGATTGGCCGCGCCCGGTCGCAGTCGGCGCACCTCCCGCCGCGATCCAAGCCGCACGCGCACCTGCTCGAGTACTCGAGTCTCAACTTGAGTGCCAAGCATTTCACGGCGACGCCGCGTGCGCAGGACGAGGTCACGTACTCGCACTTGGAAAAGTGCCTGCATCTCAAGGCGTCCAACCTCTTGAAGGACGTCGACGACGACCTCGTACCTACGAAGCGATCTGTCGATGGCGACTGATAACGTGGAGGCGTAGATTTCGACGGTCGCACAGATGGCACAAGTCGTAGTGCTCCAGCCGCGCGACGTGCTGTTCGCCGAGGGGTCGCCGGCCAACAGCATTTACGCGGTCGTCGACGGCACGATTGTGCTTGCGATGACCAAGGACGAAAAGACAACCGCGCTCACGCATTGCGGCGCTGGCATTTGCTTTGGCGAACTCGTACGTGCTCTCTTGCTTGACTCGACTATGTTCTAGTCGACTCGTGGTGGTTCTAGTCGTTCATCAAGGGCTCGACGCATATCATGTCGGCCACCGCAGCGATGACGACGACGCAGGCGCGTGTGATTGTGCTCCAGATCCCGACGTGGGAGCTTGTCGAGCTCGCCGAGAAGCACAACAAGCTCATGCACCTCGTCATGACGTGGATGTCGCGAAAGATTACGATCAAGATGAAGAATGACGCGCTGTCGGCCATGACCGAGTACACGCACCTGCCCCTGCGGACGCTGCCGAGCTCGCCGATTGGCAGTCCGCGCGGCAGTCCACGCAAGAAGATGCAGTGGGACGACGACGACGACGGTATGGCGGACGGCACGACGGGCCTGCGTCTGCGCCAAAATACATTGTAAGAAGCCTAGGACCCTAGCCCCGTCGACGGTTCACGCTGGCAATGGAACCGGCTGTAGAACACACCGTTCGGTTTGATGCGAACCGGTTAAGAAACTAAACCGGTTCATATGTATCCGAGCCGGTGCATGCGACATGAAAACCGGTTAAGGCGGGCATCAACCAGTTTCGAATCTTGCAGCGCGCTGGCATGGTCTTCCTCGACGTCCTCCATGTGCATCCGCTCCGGAGCATCATCTTTGCGTACCAAGATGGGATCTACGAGGACCTGCGCCCGCGCTTCCACGAGTTCCGCCGCAAGGTCCGGTACAGCCTCGCGCACTATGCCGGGCGCGGCCACGACTGCTTCGTCGGCGGCCGGCTCGTGTCCTCGCCTTTCCACAAGACGCTGCTCGGGACCGTCACGGACCGCAATCTGTGCTTGGACGAAGAGGCGATGTATGACATTCGCTTCCCGCTGCACCTCGCCATCTACGAGGGCAAGCTGCATGTGGTGCAGCGCATCTTGGCCTGTCGCCCGGCGCTCGTCTCTGCCGACGCGATCGACTGCGCGTTTGCTTGCGGCAAGCTGTACATTGCCCGGTATCTCCTGCATCAACGCAGTAGCATGACGAATCTCTCTCGACAGACGCCAAAGCGCTCATTCAAGGGCAGGAGCCTACCCAAGTACGTCGCGTACTTTGGCCGTGTCGACCTCTTGCAGCTCCTCAGGACGTACACCGACCATGGTTGGGACGAGAGTGCCATGCAAGCAGCGATCCGACGTCGACATGTCGCGTGCGCCGAGTACCTCTGGGACACGTTCCCGACCACCGTCACCTACGACGATCTCTACCACGACGTCGCGATCGCAGGGCTCTTCTCGCTCGTCTTGCGCTGCGACAAAGCGCGGTTGCCTGTCTCGGCGCAAGTTCTGGCTGGCGCCGCCATTAGCGGTCACCTCGGCATCATTCGGTTCCTGCACGAGCGGTGGCGCCACGGCAATGCGACAAGCGCACTCAGCGCCGCCTACGCCGAGGGCCAAATGCACATTGTGCGCTTCCTGCTTACGCACCGAAGTGAGTTTGCAGGTCGGCGCGGCGTCGACGCCGCCGCCACGTACGGCTTCTTGGACATTGTGCAGTCGCGTCTCGCTGCGGGCTACTGCGGCAGCAGCGACATCGCCTTCCAAGCGCTCTGCCACGGTCATTTGAACGTGGTCCGATACCTCTTGTACGTTGGGTACACGCTCGACCTCTCGACGGTATCGCCGCTGCTTGTGTGGTGCTGGGACGAGGCCAAGGTCGCGCGTGCGGGAACACTCGAGATGCTGGCCTTTCTGCACAGCCGGTCGTTTCGGTTTCGCGCCGTGTGGGTCGACTTTGCGGCCGCCGAAGGGTGTCTCGAGGCCGTGCGCTTCCTTATTGACGTCGCCCACGCACCATGCTCCCCGAATGCGATCGACAGCGCAGTGTTCCACCCCCCTGTGCTCGCCTACCTCGTCGCGCACACGTGCGTACGCTGTACGACCAAAGGGTTTGTGAACGCACTGCACTGGCAGACACCGCTGCGCGTCTTCGCGATGCTTTTGCAGCACTTTCGACCCGAGTGCACGCCGGAGGTCGTGCGCTGCGCGCAAATCGAGGCCCGCCTCGACGTACTCGAGCTCCTCCAGTGCGAACGTGTGTTTTCAACAGCGAGCCAGCATGGAGGAAGATGAATCGTCAACAACACCGATGACGCACTCTAGTCGGCTGGAGTAGACTCTAGTCGGCCTGTTCACACCTTGGTTGACCACACTCTAGTCGTCGTCTCGTCCGTCGACTTTGCCAAAATGACCGAGCAATTGCAGACCCCATGCAGTGTCGCCACCTGGTGCGCAAGCTTTTCTTATGGAAGCGGTGAAATGTGTACATGAGCAATCGACAACGTTGACAAAGCACAGTGAATTCACATCCATCGGGGGTTAGCGGCAGCAAAATGTACTTTCGGAGATACGAAAGTTGGGTTTCATCGACTTGTACGCGGTCGCCGTCTGCTGCCGCTGGTGGACCTGCGAGATGCGCGGCGGCGCCAACGGCTCGAACTCTTCGAATAGCGGTTGGCGCGGGGTCGTCGGCCGTCTTCGCGGCGTCGTTGGCGTCACGTCATCGGTGACCGAGAGTGTCGTCAGTCCGGTCTCCACCGTCGCATCGCCCTCGTCGACGCCGTCGACGCTAGCTTCGCTGGTCGACTTGGCATCCTCCAGCGCAGCATCGTCACCACCCAGTGTAGCTACGCGACTGGCGTCTGTCGCTAGAGGCGTCGCCGGCCGCGGCGGAATCGGCAGGCGCTGGAATGCATTCACCTTGGGCGACTCGGGGCGCTTGATGGGCGAGAAGGGACTCACGAGGTGGTTGCGACCCGACGATTTCGGCCGACGCTGCAGCAGGTTGCTACTGCTACTGCTCGCCTCGACCTTGGCCGGCGAGAGCTTGGCGGCGGCCGGTGTCACAAAGTCCATTGTTTTCACTGCGGCGGTGGGCGGGCGAAAGTGAAATTCGCGCCGGTCCGGCGTCGCGAGGTCCGCGAGGCTCTGGCGCGGCGCGGCCGAGCCTGGACGCGCCATGGGTATCTTGTCGGGCGAGAGCGTGAACTGCACCGTCGTCTTGGTCGCTTTGAGGTGGCTGCTGTTTTCGTTGCTGTTGTGGCGGTGGCGGTGGCGGGGGTACGGTTTCGGTGCAATGCCTTTGGCCTTGTTGTATCCCTGCACACGCTTGCTCGACACGAGAAAAGAGTCGCTCGTTTTTGCTCGCTGCTTCTTTGGGTCGACATGGCGGCGACCTGAGAGCGGCTCCTTCTCTGGAGACTGCTCCGTGAACAAGCCATTCGGCACATTGCTGTCGTGGGGGCAGTCGGTCTTCATGACCGACTGTACAAACCCACGCACGTCGACGATGCCACCGCGGTTGAAGGGCTTCAAGAGTTCGTGCATCTGGGCCTCGGTGAGTGCGATGCACAAAACATCTTTGATCGTCTGTCGAAGGTCGACAAGTGTGACGGCCGCATTCGTGCCGCGCTGCAACAACTGGAATGCCTGTCGCGTCTGGTCGACCTATGCCAGATCTGAGTCCCGACTCGAACGCAGAGTGTCTAGTCGTACGCCTTTTGGGGTTTTTTCGTGCAGCTTTTTGTAAATCTGGAGGCGCATCTCGTGCAACGTCCACGCCGGTCGACGCTCGTTCGCGTCGTGGTTGGAGAGGAACCGACCGGCGAGGTAGCTCGCGCGGTCTTGTTCGTTCGCACGACGTCGCTCGGCCGCCATGCGCTCGTCGCTGAGCTCGATCCACGACGTGCGCTCGCCATAGTCGTGGGGCAACACGTGGTGAATGAACTCGTAAATGTCGATGCGGCCGTTCTTGTCCGTATCGTACTTGGCAAAGAGGTGCTCAAACTCGGCGTCGATGAGCGTGAGCCCGAGCTTGTTGACCATCGTATCTTTGAACGACGTCAAGTCAATGCCTACACATGACCTCGAATAAAGCACACAAACAGGACCGATACCGTGGCCTCGGTTCTTCTCGAGGAGGCGGAAGGCTTGCTGGTAGATAAAGTTGCCACGGAGCTCGGTACGCTCCTGAATTTTCGCCCGCAACTTCTCTTCGACTTGGTCGAGGTTCCAGCGAAAGTACGTTGTCGCCGGTGGAGGGTCCGCCCGGGGTTTGGGCGGCCGGCGCAATCGCGGCTGCTCGTCCGGGAGGCCAACGTGGCCTTTCTCCGGAAGAGCGACCGCGAGCGGCGCTAACGTCGTCGGGCGGAGCGACTTGGCTTGCTCCATCCGAGCCGGATGGGAAGTACTCCAACCACCGACGACGCGCTGCCTGGCTATTTCGGCCAAGCGTTTTGCATCGCGCTGATTGGCCCCGACTATATCTTGAACGGTCGTGCGCGGGATCCACTTGATTGACGCGGCCGCATCGACGCGCTTCCTGAGTGGCCATCGCCAGCAAGGACACGATCTCGTATCCTTATGCTCGGTATAACGACGTCCGACAGGCGAGTGGGATCTATTAATTGGTCATACGGCTATGCAACGTGGCTACGACTATCAAACATTCGACAGGAGGTGTCGGCGTCTCGCTACAAGGTGTGTGCGGTGGTCGGTGGCGTTAAATAGCGTCAAGTCAGATGACGGACGTGAGGTCACTCAGGGCCATGAGAATGCCCGGGTTCTCGAAGAGGAAGAACTTGAAGTCGGGCTTCTTGATGCAGAAGAGCGTGCCCGCGGTTTTGGCAACGAGCATCGACCCAAACGCGCACTCGTCGTCGCTCGTGAGGGCGTTGACGTTGCCAATGAACGCACCGCGGCGAAACACCGCGTGGAGACACTCGCTGCTTTGGCCGCTCGTGACCGAGTCGATTGGCACCACGCGCTATCATCGAAGCGTCGTTAGTGTACCCTGCAATACAGCACGGAGTGTACGTTCACCGAGCCTTTCCGCTTCCGGGGCGGCCCTCTTGGCTCGGTCGGCATATCGGCTTCGGCAGCGCTGGCGCTTGTCGGCTTTGTCCACGTCTTCATGACAAACTCGCCTTCCGAGACAAAGACCGCAATGTCGCACGCCTCGTCCGCGTTCCACACAATGAAGTTCTCGGCGACGATCCACTTGCCAAGCGTGAGCTCGAGCTGCGTGCGCTGGATTTGCGTGAGCTTGGTAAAGATACTGTTCTCGGCGATTGTGTCCCACGCAAAGTTGTGCCGCGTTTCCACGAGCTTTTGGATGCGGTTGAAGACGCTCGTGTCGCGTAAGAACCAGTTGATGTCGGCGGCGTTGAACTCGAGGAGACAGAGCGGCGACGCAGCAATGACCGAGCACCCCACGTGCATGTTGGGGGTCAGCAGATATTGGAGGTCGAAATAGTCGCCGGGGATGTACCGCTTGGACTGCGGAATCGTCGAGAGCCGCTTCCGATCGCTCGTGTCGGTGCGCGCGCCTAGCGGGGGAAACACCGCCTGGGCTTCGCCCGCCACGACAATGTAAAACGAGCGCGCGATGCTGCCGTGTTCTTGGACGGTCGCTGCTTTGGCGTAGTCGACTCGGCGCGCCATCTACATCCCAGTGAGACGCGTGTGCTGTACGCGCTCACAAGATACGAACGGTACCTGGACCAGTTCGTACGCGTCGGCGAGGGTGAGGTCGACAAAGATGTCGATTTTTCGCACGAGATCAAGCACCTCGAGGGTGCTTGCACTCTCCGGTCGCTCCTACGCGCAGCGTGCATCGACGCGGTGGCCATATTGCGTGTGCGTACGGTCGGGACGATGATGGTGTTTTGGACGCCTTCGGGCGCCGGGCGCAGGCCGCTGTCGGCGGGAATGTCCTTGGCAGCCGTGTGCACGACAAAGATCTTTTTGCGAATGTTCTCGTCGAGCGCCATGAGCGACTTGATGGGCGTGTGGATCGGCGGCACACCGGCTTCGTGCAAGATGACGTCGCAGTCCCACGGAAACGCCAGCAGCTCGTTGCACCTTATCATTTGCTCACCTCGGGCAAGAAAGGGTGAGGAAGGTACCGATGCTCGGTGAGTACGCCTTCGTCCTTGAGCGCTTTGATCCGCTCGACGTCGTTGAGGTGGTCGCCCGAAAACACGATGCGTTTGGAGCCGTACGTGACTTCGAAGCCCACGCACGGAATCGAGTGGAGCGAGTAAAAGAAGCGGAAGGTCGCGCCGCGGATGCTCGTCGGGTCGTTGATGCGCACGTTGCGGTAGTTGAGCACACGCTTGAGAAAGCTCTCTTCAAACCCCGAGAGCGCCGCGTACTTGCGCAGAAACGACTGGTAGATGGTTTGCGTCGTGATGAGCGACACGCGGCCTTCTTGTAGAATCTGTGTGGCCATAGACACTATTGTCCACAACAACAGCAACACTGCAACTACCTTTTGAAACGTGCCGGCGTCGTGGTCGGCGTGGCAGTGCGTCACAATGACGCCGTCAATCATGAGCGGCGGGATCGAGTTGGCAATGAGGATTGAGGTCGAGAACGGCGGCGGGTCGACCATGATGCCGCGGTGGTTGATCCACAATACGTACCCGGACGTCTTGCCATTCGGGTCAAACCCATGCGAGTTGCCAAGCACTGTGACGCCAAAAGCCGGCGGGTAAAACACATCGCGCACCGTGAGGTTCTGCGCGGGGGGCGGGAGCCGCACAAAGTCCTCAATCATCGCCGACGCTGCACCATTGTCGGTAATGACAAAGCCGTGTTCGGTCTTCTGAATCGTGACCGTGTTCTCACCGGAAACGAGCGTCGCTATGTTGTCGTCGCGGAAGTGCGTAAACTTGAGCAGCATCTCGAGCGTAATGAGCGTGTTGCCAAACTTGCGAAAGTACCCGAGCTCCGCCTCGAGGTTGGGATACGCCGAGGCCGGCACCGCGGGCGGAAAGTCCATGCGCATGTCAATGGCCTGCGGGCCAAAGAGCGTCTCTTGGAAGACGCGGCGGATGCGGTCTTCGACCTCTTGCGACGCGACGATGAGGTTGACGCACTGCCGCTTGAAGAAGAAATTGCAGTACGCGGGGAACTCGAACTCGGCGACGTTGACGCCCATGTTGGGGCCCAGTGTCTTCGTAAAGGGCTCGGACGGTACGATAAAGTACATGGGCACGGGGAGACCGAGCGCCATCGAGTCCTTGATCGTCTCGGGCGGCATGCCGTACTGGATCGGTCCAATCGAGGTCGAGACGACCGAGCCGCCGCGCGGTAGCTCCGTCACCTTGAGCGTCGCTGCCATATATCTGCGCGCGTGGGGCGTACTTTCCAACTACGAACCGACGCGGGAGTTTCGCGCTATTTCCGCGCAACCGTTGGCAAAACCACTGGAACCGCGGTTGCAACAAACACTGTTTGGAACGACGATCTTCCTGCAATCGCACGTTTCAGTTGGCAACCGCCTGTGCGAGCCATGGCATCGATCGTCGTCAACGCCCTCTCGCTATTGCTATTGCTATTGCTATTGCACGCTGGACCGGCGCAAGCATCGCTCTGCCACGGACCAGAGACACTCGTGCCCGTCGACGAGAATCATCGTCAGGACGACGTGGTTCGCACCGCGGTGAGCGCACTCGTGCGGCTTCATATGCACAAGCACGTATGCACGGGCTGGTTTGTCGGTGGCCAAGGTCACTTGCTCACGGCGCACCACTGCGTTCGTGGAGTGGACGCGACGGCCATTGTTGTTGAGGTCCCGTCCCACAACGGGTCGATGCGTCGTCTTGCGACTGGTGTCGATATTGTCGCCGTCTCGGAAGCGCTCGACTATGCGCTCCTTCGGCCGTGGAATGGCACCTTGCGCGGCCGCCACCATTTGATGTTGCACCACGACACCTCCGACCTGCTCGGTCTTTCCGCCGTTCTTCCGCAGTTCACTGATGGCACGTCCCCGCCGTTCTTGTCCCGTGACGGCCAAATCCTTACAACCACGTACACTGGCTGCGGTCGCGGCGGACGTCTCGGGTACGCGCTCTCGACCAAGACGTGTGCGTCCGGGTCGCCGATCCTGTCGACAGCCACGGGCGCCGTTTTGGGACTGCACACATGTGGCGGTATCGTCCTTACGCTGCATGTTGCGTTATATAGAGCGTATCTGTCTAGGCTGCAACACGGAGCAAGGGCGGTTGAACAGCGGTGTCGCTGCCACCGACATCGCTGCCGACTTGAAGCGGCAAAAGGCGTTGCCACCAGCAGCGCTGGCGACTACGGTGCCACATTTGACCGAATCGCCACCCACATCAATGGTTGAAGTTCGTGGCACGCTCGTGCATGCGTCGGGCGCGCCTTCGGTCGACACGATACTGCTCTCGGTCGCGACACCGGGTCGACTCCGTATCGATGTTGCGGCATGGACGCAGGACGCGTATGGTCGGTGGACGGACGTCCGCGGCGACTGCGATGGCTCGTACTTTGATTCGAAAGTGATTTTTGCCTCCGTCGACGCCGCCGACGGCCGCCAGCGCGCGCACATTCTCGTCGAAAACGACGACGACACGTCAAGCCGTGGCCGCACCGACGGCTCGATCAGCGCCCGCGATGCCTACATCGACTACTACGTTGCATCGCCCGGCGAGTATTACGCGTTTCTCGGTACGTCGGGCATGGCGCTTGCTCTGGAGGCGTCAGCGCCGACCGCTCGCAACAGCAACAGTAGTGCTCTCTACGGATGCGGCAACATGCTCGCCGCCGCCGCCAGCTACAAAATGTCGCTCACGGCCGACGCAGGTATGCTGCTTCGGGTCGAGGCGCCACAAGTGCGTTCGCCATCAGCGTGCAATGGAATCGCAGCACGGGGGCCGGTGCAGTGCCCCAGCCCACGCGAGGGCGCCGTCGAGCTCCGACTGCACGCTGTGGTTGCCGGGACACTGCGCCGGACAACATCGGCCACATCGACCGATTACATTCGCCTAAATATTACGTCACCCGGCCGCATTGGCATTGACGTGGCATCGTACCAAGAGTTTGCCAACGGGTCCATCGCCCCGGGTGGCCTTCCGAATGTCTGTGGCCGCGCGTACGTCGACACGATTCTCTACGTCTTTGAGCACTACCCGGACTCGCTCTTGGCGGCTGTTGGGAATCGCCCGATGGCGCACATTGCGTCGGAGCGCTACCGCAGCATTAGCACGCGCGACCCGTATCTCGAGCTCGAGCTCGGCGTCGGCGTCTACACGCTCGTCGTCGGCCAAGAACCGCTCTCGCTCTACGAAGCGTTCCATGCGCTATACCCGAACGTGCGCGAGGCCAACGCGCCGCTGCTCTGCGGTCGACCGCACCCCGTCGGCCACTACCACGTCTTCTTCTGGGTGCAGCATGCCACCATGCTATCCCCGCCGGCGCAGCCTGGGTCCTTTGACCATGCGTCGTGCACGACCGAGGTCTGCGCCCACGAGCAGAAACGCTAAGAATACACTCGTCTAAGCGTTTCGATTGGCGTTGACAGTGTAACTTGGCAATGGGCGCCGGCGGGTCGGTCGACGATGTCCCGCGGAAGCTGCAGAACTTCATCGCGATGAAGGCGTACAACCTGCGCCAAGCGTCGGGCATGAGCATCGCGCAGCAGTTTGCACCGCTCAAGCAGACGCACCCGACGGTCCAACTTGTGCGAATCAGCGACCACTCACGACGTATCTAGACCAAGGACGAGGTGCTCGACTTTGACGCGCTCTGCAGCTACCTCCAGATCCCGAGCGCGCGCCAAGCCAGCCTCCGCGCGCTCTTTCAGCTTCACGTACGCGACGCTGTCTGCGAGACCTCGTCACACTGTGGTCGACTGTAGGACAATCACCTCCCGTACGCCGACTTGCTGCGGCTTCTCGAGCAGCCTGCTGCCACTGCGGTACCAAGTCTCATCTCATGGGACAGTATGACAAGCGCTGGTGTAGCCGACGCGGGCGCCGGCGCCGTCGAGTGCGCGACCAGTGCCACCGCCCGCCACGACGCAGCTCGTGCGCATCGAAGTGGCTCGGCCGAGCCTCGCTGCGAGCGGCGCGTCGTCGATTGCGCTTGTACCCGGTCTCTGGAAGAAACGCGAAATCACAATCCAAGAGCGGATCGTCGAGTACACCAAGATCGACGAGCATGGCGTGCCGCAGAACCTCATCGAGAAGGAAAAGCACCAGCACGAGGTACAGGTGTCTACGCTACTTGGCGAGATGGCATATCGGTCTAGATCATCCACATGGAGTCGACCACCGGCGAGTTTGCCCATCGCGAAGTGACCTACTTTGAGCAGACTGAAGAGCTCAACAACGAGGTCGTCCACCACGACACGGGCAAGGAAGAATTTGTGCACCTCAAGTCCAAGGACGACGAGATCTCGCACTTTGAGTCGAGCATGCCGCAGCGACCGCCCGAAGCCTGCGAACAGCCGCCGCCGTCGCCGACGCTCAAGAAAGATCCGAGCGGCAACAACGACGAAGAGACCCAGGACCCACAGCAGCAGCAGCAGATGTACGAGGAACGTAGTGACGCCTAAGATCTAGATGGCGTGTATTGTTTCGAGTCGTCGTTTAGTGGGCTGCGTCCTTGAACGCAATCGCTTTGCAAATGTAATCTTGAAACTCTTGGCACGTGAGCGAGTCACGCGACACAATGTGCAGCGGCGATACGCTCAGCGGCTTCTTGGGCGTAAAGTCTTCGAGCGGGTTGCCGGTGGCCCCCGGCGAGAGCGACAGCTCGACGCGGAAGCGCCGCGGGTCCAAGCTGTTGAGGCCGCCTAGAAAGAGGGTCTAAGACGCAGTGGCCAAGCAAGGGACAGGGCGTACATCGTTCAAAGACACGAACGACAATGTGCGTCATGTAGCAGAGCTCGGGGATCTCTTCGATCCACTTGCGCCCGGGCACCGAGACGGGGCAGTCCTCCTCTTTGCCCGTGACGCTGTGCCGAAGGACGTTCAGGAGCGTGTGCAAGTGCGACTCGCTCGTAAAGTAGAGGCGGGTGCGCACAGAGCGGTGCGTCGACTTGATGTCCTTGGTCGCATACGACGGGTCGAGGCGGTGCGTAATGTTGAAGCCCCGCGCGAGGTCGAGGTCGTCGCGCATCTTCTTGAGCAATGACTGGCACATGTTGGTGCCAATGTGAAGCTTTTCGTGCACATCAATGCCATACTCCTACAACGCGCCGTCGAAAACGGTGTCTCAGACAAAGGCAGTACCTGCGGCACGAGGGCGTGGGCCAGTGAGGCCGAGATATCTAGGAGCTCCTTGATACCGCTGAGGTACAGGTGCGCGTTGTGCATCGCATCGTAGCGGATACAGTCGTGGATGTCCGGGATCTTGGAGAGATCAAACGTCTTGCCCTTCTTCGAGTAAAAGTCGCGGTACAGCTTGGCCCAGCGCTCGCGCATCATCTCGAGCGTCTCGCGGCCGCACGGCTCGCGCTTGGTGTGGCCCGCCGACCCGATGCGGGGCCGTGGACTCGACATGAGCGAGTTCAGCGACGTCGCCGTCGGCGTCTTGGGGCGGCTCTTGGGCGACACCGTCTCGTCCACCGAGTTTTTGCGCGCCTTGGGCGTCTTCGTCGTCGCCACCGACGTCGGGCTGAACGCTTCAATGGTTTCGGGCTCGAGCTCCAAGCACGAACCGACCGTCGTTTCCGAGCCCTGGCGCTCGAGGGGCTTGAACTCGCGATCGTCACGGAGACCGCGCTCAAACTCGGTGGCCGTAAGCACGCGCTCGGCCTTCTCCGTCGCCTCGGCATCCAAAAGCTTGGTGAGCTGATCCTTCAAGTGGCCCAGAAGCTTGTGCATCCGTTCCATCTTCTTCATAGGCTGCTCGACGACGTCGAGTGCGGCAGCCACGCTTCGGACGAGGCGCGAGTTGGAGTGAGTCCGCAAGAGGCCGCAGTCGTCATCGCGGTGCAGAATGTCGTGGAGCCGCTCCTTCACGGCCATGATCATTTCTTGCGCTGACGAGCCCGATTGGTCCAGCATCGAGTCGGCGTCCTTGGACTTGAGCACCAAACTCACGAGAATGGGAATGATATCGCCCTCGAGCTCGAGCAAACCTTTCGCAAACGACGCCGCCGTCTTCTGCACACGACCTTCGTCGCTCGTGTAGATCTTGAGGTCGTGCCGGTACGTCGAGTGCAGTCGGAGGAGACCGCCGTCGCCACCGGGGTACATGATCTGGCGGAAGTGCTGACCGAGCGTCTCGGCTTGCTGGATGCCTGAGTGGGTCAAATCACCGCCCCACTTGACGATCAGCAATAGCTGGCTAATGCGACCGCAGCTTTCCTATTCGAATACACCAACATGATTAAAGGGTGCTTGGACATTCGGAATACCTTGTCGCCGCCCTTTGGCGATGAGCTGACGTTGGTCAGCGACTCGAGGCGCGCCTGGCGCTCCACCGGCACGGGTGACGTCGGTGCCGCTTGAAAGTCTATAGATCATTTCATTCGAATGCACAAGGTGCGACGCCGCGACGTACCATCGGTCCACGCACGAGGCTTCATCTGAACCTTTCGGTTGATGCCACAGAGCTGCCAGCGCTGGAGGACGTCGCGAAGCGTGTAGATGCCCTTCATTTGCTCGCCATCAATATCGTCGTCGTCGGCGTCGTCGACGTCCTTGGCATCGGCGTCCAACGCACGGCGCTGCTTGGCTTCGTACGCTGCGATGAGATTTTTGCTCACGGCGAGAAGCTCTTCGAGGTCCTTGATCGTCTTGATCTTAAGGTCCTTCTTCTTCCCGCGCCCGACGCGGTTTTCGTAAAAGTCGAGTAGCTGCGGCGACGTCACGAGCATCTTCATCTTCTGCTTGGGCGTGCGATCACCGTGGCGGATGACGGCGAGGACGCAGCGTAGCTCTTCTTCCTCCATGCCATCCGCATCGCTGCCGTCGAACCCGCCATCAAACTCGCTCTCCGACTAATCGCATACATCTATGAGTCACAACACGGCGTGGTGGCGAAGCGTATACCGCCGTGCCGTCGGCCTGCAAAAGCGACATAGACGAGCTGTTGGTCATCGAGCGCTCGCGGTCGAGCGGCGGCGAGTACATGTCGGCGTACGGATCTTCGTAACCCGCGAGCGCGCGTTCGAGGTACTGGCGGAGGAGCACGGCGCAGTCGTCGTAGTACTTGGGCGAGTTCTTGACAAAGCTCCAGCCGTTGACGTCGCACACATACGACTCGTTCCCGACACGAAGAATGTCAAAGCCGCAGACCGTTTGGCCAAACGCGCGGCAGACTTTGTGCGCAATGTTCTTCTCGTTCGTCGAGAGAATCACGGGGTACCGAATCTCCTTCCCGACCGAGTCGCGCATGACCTTGCCGTCAAGGACGGGCGACTTGCGCGCTTCCGCGTGCGCATAGTTGGGGCCGACCGTGTACACCTTGACGTCGGTCCCTTGGGTCGCAATGAACTCTTCGTAAATGTATGACTGACCGCGCCGGACGCTGTTTTCATGCGGATGGAACTCGGACGACCGGTTCCCGACCTTCCGGAAGAGGTGCTTGCAGCCGCCGCCTGCGTTCGTCGGGTAGTAGATGTAGATGTTGTGGTCCTCGCCGTTTACGGGCTTTTCAACAAACGGCTTTTGGATGCGGACGCCGTCGAGCTCGACAAAGTCGTCGCACTCGAAAAAATCGGGCTCGAGGGTCGACCCGCGGTAGCCATCGCGGTTGACGACGATGTGCCTACGCACCAAGCATGAGACGCCATAGCTTCCAGCATGTTCGTCGGTACTTGGGCGTCGGGATGTTGTGTTCCTGGAGGATCCGGTAGACGTCGCGGCGATCCATGAGCAAGTTTTGGTTCGAGAGATCGTTCACGACGATGGGCTGGCGGAGCTCGACGTACTCCATGGCCTACACGAACGTGGTCAAGGCGATGTTTCTCGCATGTCTACGGTACCTTGTCGAGCGGGAACCCCGTCGAGAAGAACGCAATGAGCGCATCGCAGAGCGGCCACTCGTCCACAGACTTGTTGAGGATCATGTCGTCGCCAAAGAGGACGATCTGGAACGCATGCTTGGGAAGGCGCTGGAGGATCTCAGTCATGGGCTTGGACGTCGCCTTCTTGTCCATGGCGCAGACGCCGATGACAAAGGGCGAGGACCGCTCGAGGTTGACGGGCGAAGACGCGGTCGGCTCGATGTTGGCGAAGGTGAAGACGCTGCCCGGCGTCCGCGCGTCCGCGCTCTCGCGCCGCTTCTCCCGCGCGACCTGGGCGCCCATGCTGCTCTTCCACTTGGTCGACTTGTCGCGAAAACGGTTTTCATTGCATTTCAACATTCACCACCCAAACTCTCTTGCTGTTTGTATGCAGCGACCTAGTACATACAAAACCCAAGTGTATTTTTTCGTGCCACTTGCGCTTTGTATACTTGCCCGAAATCGTCCGTGGAGGATCCGTACGCGTCCACGTCAATGAAGCGGGCCGAGGAGTATGCAGCTGTCGCGACCAAGCGGCCGCGCGCCGAGGACAAGCCGGACGCGCCGCCCGCGGAAGAGCGCCGAACTGTCCGCTTCGTCGAGACGGGCGCGCTCCTCTCGCTGGCCGACGATGGGCTTACGGTCACAGGCAGTAAAGTATGTGCAGACGTCACGGGTGCGGCAAGACTCATGCACGGCTAGGGCTATTGCATGGCACGCGCCAACTGCGGTATTTGTCATGGCAATTGCTATTACGAAATCACGCTGCAGCCTGCCGACGTGCCGTACCACGTGCGCTTTGGCGTGGGCACCAAGAAGGCGGACATCAACGCGCCCGTGGGCTTTGACGAGTCGAGCTACGCATACCGCGATCTCGAAGGCGCGATCGTACACAAGAGCACACGCCGTGACGGCTACGGCGCAGCTTTCGGTAAACCATCAACCGCATGCAGGAGCCTCACGAAGCATGCTAGGGCCGGGGGATGTCGTCGGTGCCCTCCTCTTGCTACCCGATCAAGTCGAATCAGGTCCGGATCCCACTTCGGCCAGTAGCCCACCCACAAATCCTGCTTCGCCCAGCGTCGGCTCAGAATCTCCGGCAGTGACGCCAGCGTCCGACGTCAAGAAGACGAACGGTATCCTTCGCTTCTTCGTCAACGGCGTCGACCAAGGAGTGGCATTCGACGACCTGCCCTGTGGTACCTCATCTCCGAATCGTCCACCTCCATGATCCCGGCATTAGGCGATGTGTACTACCCGTGCGTGTCCATCTACCATGCCGGCAGCGTCGTCGCCAACTTTGGCCCATCCTTCCGGACGCCGATGGGCGACGCGATTCCATACTCGAGCCCGTCCCCCTAGTACACGTATTACACGGAGGTTGTACTACGCGTCTATTAAAAAGTCATGTGCTGCTCGTCGTGGTATGGCGGCTGCACACACGAGTTGATGAGGTGGTTGAGGTCGTCGTCGTTGTTGAGGAACGACGTGTTGGAGAGCATCGACGACCGCAGCGAGAGCTTCGAGAGGCTCTTTTTGATCTCGCTCTTGTTCTCGAGGAGATCGTCGAACTCTTGAACACTCAAGTTGAACGTGCGCCGGATGGCTTCTTCGTCGTGCGGGCCAAAGGACGCAAAGAGCGAGTCGACGAGCTGCCCGTCGTCGACGCCGTCGTTCGTCTCGGCGTTGCGCAGATTGGCCAAGAACGACTCGGAGAGCGCAAACGACCCGTTGAGGCTGTGGAGGCTGGTGTTGTTGTTGCTGCTGCCGAGGCTGTCTTGGCGCTCCCACTCGAGCTGCATGCGGCGGTGGTCTTCCAAGTACGGTCGCTTGTGCATCGCGTTGAGGTGGATTTCGTCGAGCATCGACGCGACGTTCTCCGAGCCCATGACGTTGGAGAAGTTGCGCGGCCGCGACGACGACGGCGACATGTATTCGTGACCATACTGGTTGGCGAGGTGCTCGGTCGTGTTCATGACGTTCTCAAAGCTGCGGCGACGCGCGAACGGAGGCGGGCTCGTCTCGATCGGCGCCGAGCGTGGCGTCGGCGTCGACTTGGGCTCGCTCGTACTGCTGGCGCTGCTGCTGCTCGAGTGCAACTTGAGCGAGCCAAAGCCAAAGCCAAAGGACCGCGCTTTAGCCTTCTCTTGGCGATGCGGATGCATCGTCTTCCATCGGAGCTTGATGTCGTGCTCGGACCGCCCGGGCAGGCGCTTGGCGATCTCTGTCCATCGGTTCCCGAGCTCTTCGTATGCGTTCTCCAGCGCAATCTCTTCGTCTGTCGTGAACGCCGTCTTGATGAGCGACGGGTCCAAGTGGTTGCGCCACCGATCTCGGCATTGCTTGGATCTAGCGCAATAAGCAATCAGAAATGATTGCAGTCAATGGCTGGCGTACGATCTTCCGGGCACGGACTCGGCGATCTTGGACCAGGACTCGGACCCGGCCTTCTCCACGCGTCGTCGGAGGAGCTCGTCCTCGTGGGGCGTCCATGCACCGACCATGCTGCTGTGAATTGTCTTGTGAGCTCAATGGAAAGGCCATTTGTCGAAGCAAACTTGTACCGTAGAAAACGCTCCGTTTTCGTCTTCGATTGGATTACAGCCAATCAAAGTCCGATCCTCGCCGCAAGCCGCGCGTTGATTGGCCATTGCATTGAGTTACAGCGGTGGCGTATGGCGCGGGAATATTTCACGCGGTTTGCACAATACACTTGGCGTTTGTAGGCAACGATGAATCGCGGCTTAATTTATGGCCGGCGTGTCGCATGGAACGTACATTGTACAACGTACGTACATCCCATGTACGTGTAGTGTACGGCAGAGAAAGGAGCCCGGGGCACGCGGGGCACGAAAAGGCTTTCTTCGACCGCGACTTCGATCGACATAGCACACAAGGCCGTGGCCCACGACAGCTTCCAACACAACCCGACCTTCGCCCTCGACAAGTACGTGCGAGCCCCTTGTACATGGTCCTCGGCGAAACTCACATGGCAATGACGTGCGTAGTGACCTCCATCTTGGCGCAGTAGGCTCATGGCGCGAGGACCATGCCATCAATGTCACTGCGTAGGAAGCGCCGCATTGGCGACCACATGGACTCGTTCGAGGACGCCTACAACACGCCGAGCAGCGGCGGCAAGGGCAAGTGGACCGACGAAGAGGTACGCTGCTGTCATCGAGGCCACGTGGGCGACTGGCGCATAGGACAATGCGCTTCGCCGCGCGGTCGAGCTCAATGGCAACGAAAACTGGAAGGTATGCAAGAGCGAGATCGCGATCTGCTGGAACAAGCGTATGTGCGTAGGCCATTGCCGAGCTCGTGCCGGGGCGCAACCACTCGCAGTGTCTTCAGCGCTGGAACAAGGTGCTCAAGCCAGGTCTCATCAAGGGCAATTGGTCGCCAGACGAAGACGAGCTCCTCCGGCAGCAAATCCACATCTGCGGCGAGACCGCGTGGGTGCGAATCGCCGAAGGTGTGCCCGGCCGAACGTACGTCTCGTCTCCTGCAGATGGAGCCAAACGCAGTCGCGTAGGACCAAGCAGTGCCGGGAGCGCTGGCGAAATCATTTGGCGCCCACCATCAACCGCTCGTGCGTGAGAAGGCAACAGATACGTCGCTTCTCACACTACGTAGACCCTTTACTGCCAACGAGATTGCGCTCCTCGAATACGTCTACAACAAGATTGGCAACCGATGGACACAAGTGGCCAAGTTGCTGCCGGTACACGCGAGTCTGCTCGTCCGCCACTCACGCAAATACGGCGCGTAGGGCCGCGCCGAAGACGATATCAAGAAGAAATGGAAGCAGATGCACCCCAAGCAAGAGAAGAAGAAGGCCGGTCGGCTGCCCAAGATGGAGATGACGGACCTCATCGAGTCGATCCAGTACGAAATGAAGCAAGGCAACCTCCCGATGCTGAGCTACCTCTTTGAAATGAACGTGGCCGACATTCTGCTCGAGAACGACGACGACGAAGAGAAGGCGTCGATCGCATCGGACTGCAGCCGCCGCAGCAGCATTGTGAGTTCCAACAACAAGGTCGAGGACCTCTTGTCGTCGGCGCCGCCGTCCGCTGCACCGTCGCCGTCCCCGCCGTCGAACAACAGTCCGTCCGTGCGACCGCCAGCTCCGTTCTTGACCAAGAAGAAGAAGGTCGAGTGGGACCAAATGTCGATCGATATTCTCACGCAGTTTCTCTTCACCGCGTCGTTCAAGACGAACCTAAACCTCGGGGACATGATGGACGCCGAGACGAGCGCCAACACGGCAGCCAACGTCTTCTCGATGGACGACGACCCGGTGGTCGCGAGCGTCATCGACTCGTTCCGCGCGTCCGGGTCGTCCAAGGACATTCAGTCGATCGTGGACGAGCTCCAGTTTGACCAGGACCAGCTGCAGCACCTCATGGATGTGTGTGGCAACTCGTCCAACGACTTCCTCAAGGACGACGACGACGCCTCGAGCGAAGAAGAGTACCAGTACAAGTTGTAGATGCGTATAGTGAATAAGTTGTTGATAATTTACATACGCCAAAATAATTGTCGAAAAATCGACAATCTGTCCACGCCTCATGGATGTGAGAGCCCACCGATATTATCCGGACACGAATTCCGGATGCGGGCTGGCACAAAGAGCGGAAATAATGAACGGTGGCATCGGCGATAGCCCTCCGCGGGAGCTGTACGAGGCCGGCCCCGTGGACGTCGACCTCGCCGCGCACGCCGGACACAGCCACCACGGCGACGTCTGCCCGACACCGGGCTCGTGCTTTCCCGTGCCCGGCGACCAGTTTGATACGTTTGCCGACCTCGAGAACCGGCTCAAAGTGCACAGCCTTGACCATGGGTTCACGCTCGCGCGCAGCACGCACCTCTTCTCATCGACGCTGGCGCTCGAGCTCTTCCGCGTCAAGTCGCCGCTCATCAAGGTCGTGCACCGCGGTAGCTTTTACTGCAGCTACAAGGTGTGTCCGGACGACAGCACGAAAAAGTGCTCGTGGCGGATAACGTTTACGTTTGACCGGACGCTGCTCAAGTACGTCATCAAGACCGAGCGCTACTGCTCCATGCACTCGCACGAGATTGGCGAAGAGGCGGCGAGCAGCTCGGCGATCCACCGCGAGAGCCAGCTCTACGAAGCCGAGCTCGACCAAATCCAGGCCATGGCGCTCCAAGACCTTTCAATCCCCGAGGTACGACGATACCTTATGCGTCCTGCATGTACACTCACACCGCCATCCGGTAGATCCGCTCGCGCATGCAGGCCACGTACCCTGGCAAAGACTACACGCCTGACCTGCTCCGGCGCATTGTGAAAAAAACTAAGGACCACGCCGCCCGTCCAGCGACCGCCGACGACGCTGCCAGCACGTCGCAGGTGCGGTCCGAGCTGCGCGCAATGCCGCCGCGCTCGGTGCCGACGCTGCAAGAGTCGGAGCAAGAGAGCCGGTACCTCGAAGTCCACCAGCGCTTCAACCAGATCGTGTCCAAAGTTATCAACGACCCGCACCGCTTCAAGCTCTTCTCGCTCAACCTTGTCGCGTTCGAACACTCGCTCACCAACCCGCTCCCAGTGCAGTTGCCGCCGTCCTCTATGCTCATGGCGCCGGCTCCGTACGACCGGCCCTACACCGCGACGGCCACCTCCAATTCGACGACGACGAGCACGGGCGCCCGCCAGCCGCGGCCAAAACGGCCGCGCACAGGCCACGAGAGTGCGATGGACGAAGCCTTTCTCTCGACCGAGATGGCCAACAACCCGCTCAACCATCTGTAGACGTGTCGTCTTCGTGTTATTATACTACTCGTACCTGCACGTCACCTTGTCGCCGGCCTTGTCGTCGCTCCTCGTGGTGTATTATGCACAAACCAACGACGCGTTGCTCGGTATAGAGACCGATCACGTGAGGACTCGCGCCTTGAGGAGAAGGTGGACGACGAGCTCTGTCGCGCCCAGCGGCATGAAGCCGCCTTTGACCGTGACCTTGGCCGAGACGCGAATCCAATGTAGAATGCGCAGCTGGTTGCCGCCGTCGTGGTCGTCGCCTTTCGGGTTGAAGTGGACGGCGATCGTGGCTTCGTGGCCAGGCGACACGCTCCCTTTGAGCGGCTCGATCGCAAAGTACTTGCGGTGCTTCTCGGCGAGGCCCGTCGCGCCGTCGATCGTCACCTCAAACGTCGCTGCTGCGCTCGCCTTGCCGTCTGAGAAGGCGGATCCGACGCTGTGCCCGTGGTCCCTCTCGTCCTGAGGCCCAATGCTGCCAATGACGACGTTCTTGGTCGTCGGCTCCGTATCAAACACAACCTGCAAGACACGTGGCGGCTTCTTGACAAAGTCAGCGCAGAACGTTGGGAGTGGCACGTGCTGCGGCAGCTCGAAAATGTCTTCGGGCACCGCCGGCTCGTCGCCCGCCGCCGGAGGTAAGAGGTACGTTTGGGCCTCCCAGCAGCGGCCCTATCACAAATCCTGCTGGTATCCCATGGACTTTGAAAGGCGGTGACGTACACGCAGGGTAATGACGTGGTCTTCTGTTTGGTTGGGCACATCGATGCGAAACTTGGTCGTATACTCGATCGGCCGCTCGTGGTCGGGGCTACAACGCCCGTTACCGTAGGTACCACGATCGAAGGACGTACCTGAAAACACTGCGGACGACCTGGGTCTCGCCCGGTGGGATCACGGCTTCGTTGGGCGTGCACGAAAACACGCTCGTTTGGTTGTAGTTGGGGTGCAGCACCTCGATCGCCTGCGCATGCGACTCAGCCATCGACGATTTGGCAAACGTACCTTGATGATGTACTTGAGCGGAAACTGGCTCGAGTTGAGCAGGGTAAACTCGGTGAAGCCTTTTTCGCGCGCCAACACGGGCTTGAAATGGATGTCGCCGTCCACGGGCGTGATTTGCAAGATGGGGCTAACACCCTACGTACTTGACTCTGTGACTCATTCGTTGAGAGTCGAGCGATGCACCTCGCCGTGGAGCGGCACGCGGAGATGTCCTCGCGCCGTTGTGAGCGTCAAGTCTTCGTGAAAGATGAGCGGTGCCGACGGCGTGAACTCGACAAAGAGGTTCTAGGGCCGTAACGCAATCGATCATGCGGCAGAGCGATGGTACCGCAACGCCGCCCCCAGCGCTGACGCACCGCAGCGCGTTGACAACCGAGAACGGACCCATGCAGTGCAGTGCGAGCACGTGCAACTCCAAATCTTCGGGGCCGTCGTTGACAACTTGGAGTTTGAGCACCTAATTCGTGCATTCGGAGCTGCCACGTGTGTTGTTGGGGTAGTATAACGTACGCTCGACTGTCCGACGGCCACTTGGCCAAACGAAAGCTTCTCGGGCTTGGCGATCAGCTCTCGCTCGACGATCGACAATTGAAGGCGAAGGCTCTGCAGGGCGACGCGGTCGACCTTGTTTCTAGTGTCTTCGGCAAAGCACACAAGCGTGCAGGTTGCATGCACGCTCCGCGGCTCTGTCGGCGCCAACAGCGCAATGGGTCCAGGTGCCATAACGTCATTGTCGTCGTCCAGCTCGTCATTCGGCGTCACGTCTTCGTTGGTCTCTTTACTCGTGGTGTCGTTGGACGTCGCTGGCCTAGAGTCCTCGGCCGTCTCTGGTTGGAATGTATCCGCCACGGCCTCGCAGAATGACTTCGTCACGATGACGTTGTCGGCCGGCTCGAGGTCGTCCCACGTCATTGGTCGAAACTCGACTTCAATGCGCACCGAGCCGTACGCTGGCACGGTCGCAACAAGCGGTCGTATTCGTAGCACCTACAACTCGTCTAATGCGGCTACTCGATGACTCTAGCTACCTTGGCCACAGCTGCTGGCAAGTCGATCTCGAGGCGCTGGTCGCTACTTGACGAGTTGATACACACAAGGCTGTGCACGACAAACTGTCCAATCGGGATCGCGCCGAGCGTCACGACGGTCTCGGAGAAGCGCAGTGCCGGAGCGACGCCCGTGCCAATACATGGCAGCGAATACGTGCGGTTCATGCTCGACGCGCACGTGAGCGACGTCCGGAACTCGGTGGCGGCACTCGGGCTAAAGACGATCGTGGCGTCAACAGCTTCGTACGGTAAGAGCGTCCCGAAGCCGTCACTGGGCTCGACGCGCACCTCGGGTGGCAAGTGCACAAACCCAAACTTCTGCGGCAGCATCGACCTATTGGTGATGCGCACGCGCTGTGCGACGCTCTGGGTCGTCGCGCACGCGCCAAAGAGAATCGTGGGCGAGGAGAACTCGAGATCGCCTGAAGTGAGCTGCGCACGCAAGACAAAGTACACGGGCAGCACTTGGTCCGGTACGAGCACTTGGAGTGGGATGGCCATGACGCCGAGATGCTCGAGGCCAAACTTGTGGGCGATAATGGCTGTCCAGAGACTCTGCGTCGGCCGAAACTTGATCTAGCGCCAGATTAGATCCAATACATTGTAACGAGGGTTGTACTTGAATCTCAAACCGCCCGGGTTCGGCGCCAGGCGAACACCCTTGCACGTAGCCAAAGTGGGGCACAAACTCGAGCGCTTCTTTGAGGTACTTGGGCACTTTGAGCTGGCACTTGAGGGGCACCTTGCCCCGGTTGCGCAAGAGGAGCTTTCCGCGGTACAACTTGTCGTACACGCAGCACTTGAAGTCCATGATGGGCGTCTCGACGTACAGCGGGACCTGCACATGGCATACATTGCACGTTGTTTCAACTTGATCGGTTGATACGATTACCTCCGCGGCTTGGGCCCGCACGCGAATGTCGAGCGGCGGCACTTCTGGCGCGTCATCAAACGTCACTTGGAACGCTTGCGTAAACGCGGCCATAGGCTCGTGGGGCGAAAAGGCAAAGTGGATGCTGCAGCTCGCGTACGGGGCGACGTGCCCGTCCGTACTGGCTACGATGGGCGGTGCCACCGTGACGCTTCGTTGAAACTGGCCAAAGGACGTCGCGAACGCCAAGAGCGCGGCTTCGGACGTGACGCCACTCGGATCCACCGCGTCGGCCTCGTCAATGTCATGCGTCGCGCTGGTGTCGGTCCAGGCTAACGCCTCAGCGTCGGTCGCTGCCACAACGCGAAAGACCGTGGGAAGTGCGCCGGCGTTGCGTAGCGTCACGACGTGCTTGGCGCACTCGCCCACGACCACGTTCGTAAACTCGATCTGGCTCGTGCTGAGCTCCGGGACACTGCGCTTCGCCGAGCAGCGCAGCGGAATGGCAAAGTACCCGGTTTTAGCGACCGCCGGGATGTGCGTCTCGAGGTCGGCGTTGAGACGCGGGAGGAACGTCACGTGCACGCGGCAGGTCATGCCGGCCGACATGCGCCCTGGCTTTTCGTACGCAACGTCGAAAAAGTCGCGCACGTCGTCGGGCAGCGGGAGGAGCTTGAAGTGGTTGAACGTGTTGCTGACGTTTGTGAGCGTAAAGGACCGGGCTTGGGGCGTCCCGACGTCAAAGTCTTGGAACCAAACCTCGGGCGGGTCGGCCAGGAAGGCGCGGCCCGTGAACTCTCTTCGCCACACGATTTGCTTTTCGATCAAGTTGTCTTTTTGTTTGGCGAGCGCGCGCTGTCGCATGGCCTCTTCGAGCTTGCTGCGCTTGGGCACGCCAAAGCCCTTCTTGGTACTACTACTGGTGCTACTATGGTGGGAGGATGCGGCTGTGAGCGATGGCAGCGCCGGGCTGGAGTCGTCGACAAGACCGTTGAGCTGCTGTAGCTCTTTTCCTGGAGGTTGCGAGATGGGCGGGAGGAGCAGACCGTCCGTCGACGGCGTGCTCGAGAGTGCCGCCGACACGTTGTGCTTGCTTTTCGGGATCCAGCGCGGGTTGACTTGAACGTTGGCGTGCTCGGGCTTGGCTGCGATGGCATCGATGACCTAGCCAAGGTCATGGCATGTCAGCAAGGACGGTGGGCACCTTGTCCCGCTGCTCGCGCGTCTTGTTGGTGCACTTGCCCATCCCAAACGAGTAGTCCTTCATGGTCGTGACTTGGGACGGGTCGATCCGGAAGGTCCGGCCCGTGGGGTCGACGAGCTCGGCGCCGACGCGCGAGAGCATGTAGTTGCGAGTTCGGTCTTCGACAGCTTTGCGCCCGAGCTCCTTCTGGTACTTTTGCACGTACTCGACGTGGCGCTTCTCGACTTCGCCGCGCCGCTGGTTGCGCGCGGCCTCCCGCACCATGCTGTTGGCAATGTGCATCTCGGTGGCGCGAATCTTGCGCTGCTGGCGCGCGAGCTTGGCGGCGGTCCGCGCTTCGATCTCGCGCGCCCGAAACACTTCGTACGGGTTCTTGCCGGAGGCGAGGAGCTCTTGGAACTCGCGCGCTTGCGCCGCGGCCAGCACGTCGGCCTCGGCGTTGCGCTTCTCATTCTGCCCGACCATGCCCGCGTACGCCTTTTCGCTGTTGGCGCGTAGCTCGAGGATCGCATCGAGTCGTCCTTGGTGCTGCTGCTCCTGGCACTCAAGGAGCCGCTTGTGCACCTTGCGCGCCATGGCCTTGTCCTCGAGGTCGGTGTCGGTCGGCGCTGCATCCGACGACATGCTGCCCGGCGGTGCTGCCTGTTGCGCCGTCAAAAGGTAACGCCAAAGGACAGACTCGGACTTTGTATGCACGATAGAGCGGTGCAGTGTCAAAGATCGTGTCGCTTGCGAAGGGTCACGGACGTGTGTGTTGACCACGGCTGCTGCAGCTCGCCTGTATCGGCTTGCTCCATGGATGCATCAAGCGGTGGCCAAGGCGATATGCTCCATTTGGCCGCGACAGCACACCTCAAGGTACGACGAGGGCGCCAGAGATGAGTACTGTAGGAGCTACAGGTGCACTTGGCCATGCCAAGAAGGGCTCCATGTCGAGCATGTTAACGAGTTAAAAGAGAGGGTGGTCCTTCATGGGTGCGCTGCCACCCTTGAGCGATGTGGGCGGGCGGAAGAGTCGGTCGACGATAGCCTGCGAGTACTCAGCATACGCGTTGCCTTGGGTATCGATGGCTGGGATCACGCGGTCGCTGTCGGGCCCTTCGTCGCCCACAAGCGGCGGGTTGGTCACACTAGTTGGCGATTAAAATGATCCTCTACAAGGTCGCGTGTCATGATACCTGAGCACATGGAGCTCAGCGCTCGACGCGACAATGGAAAAGTCCTCTTGCTCATCGATCGCAATGCACGTGCCGGGCGAGAGCGCATGGCTGTGGTGCACCGCGCTATGGATCTCGAGCGAGCCTTCGCCCAGGATGACGTACATAGCTTGGACGTGGTTCTTCATGTGCAAGCGCAGTGGCGTGCCCTTGGAGATGATTTCGTGCTGGAGCGAGAAGCCGAGACCGTCGTCGCGGGTCAAGTACCGCCGGGACTCGACGCTGTCGACATTCGTGACCTTGCCATCCGCGAGTAGCCCATCGAGCGACCGAACGAGGAGCGATCGCGCGGCCGACGCATGGAAGCTGCGTCGCTGCAGAAGCATCTTGTGGCGGAGACCAAGCATCTTCGTCTTTTCCCGTTTGATCCCATCTTGTTCTTAGCTGTATCTTGACACGTTAATAACATGACCACCGTGAACTTCAACTCCTGCGATTGCATCTGTCAACTGGCAGGAGACGTTGGCCGGCTAGCTTCCGTCAGAGCGAAATAAAGGAGCTAGGAAGAGCGACCGTCTGAGTGCGGCGGCTGGAGCTCCATGAGCTCCAGTGGCCATCGCACGCTGCCAATAGCACGGTCAACAAGTTGGTCAAGAAGAGTGGCAAAGTAACTAGTTGGTGCGTTTTGGTCTGCGGACGTAGCGCTTGCTCACAACCGGGTAGACCAGGGTTCGATACCCGGTATCGCAACTCTACTTGACCATCAAGCTGCTTGAGCAGCAGAGCGATCGGTGGCCGCAGTAGCGTGGCAGCCTGAAAACAATCCAGCCGGTTATCCGGATGATAGCGTGGCGCCGGACTGATATAGTGAAAACAAGTGTAGGCAATTCCATGCGGCCGCGTCTTATACCTCGTATCCGGATATTTCGACCCGACGAGGGATGTCAAACCAATTTGACTTCGCCCATGGTCATGAGCACGGCGAAGCGCAGTCGTCCGGCAGAGCTCGCTTGCGACGAGCTGCCGTCCGCTAGCAGCGAGCAGCGCCCGCGCCAAGAGCCAGACAGCGAAGAGAGCGTGCCCACGGTCTCCCGCTGGACGCGCGAGCAGGTACGACAGTGCTTGTCCTCGGTGCCCGACGCACCACGAGTCGTAGGACGAGCAACTGAATCGGGGCATCGAAAAGTATGGCACCAAGAACTGGAAGGTACCTGCTACGACTTGAACGCATGGTCTCTAACGACATTGCCGCAGGCCATTGCCAGCATGGTGCCAGGCCGCAACCACGCGCAGTGCCTCCAGCGCTGGAACAAGGTGCTCAAGCCGGGCCTTGTCAAGGGCCATTGGTCTTTTGACGAAGATGACGCGCTCATCAAGCTTGTGCGCGACGTGCCGTCGGTGCAATGGTCGGACATCTCCAAGCAGATCCCGGGTCGCACGTACGAGACTGCCCTCTCCTTTGGTATCCTAACAAGCTGCTGCTGGTAGAGCCAAGCAATGCCGTGAGCGCTGGAAGAACCATTTGGACCCTACCATCAACAAGGGGTACGATTCATTAGTTTCTGCGATGCACTGACAAATGTATGGACCTTTAGCCCGTATAAGTCGGAGGAGGACGTTGTCTTGATGAACGCGTACCAAGAACTCGGCAACCGATGGACGCAAATCGCAGAGTTGCTGCCGGTACGGTCGTCGCCAACTAGATTCGGTGGATCAACGAACGACGTAGGGCCGCACCGAGGACTCGGTCAAGATGCGCTGGAAGGTGCTGAATCCGCACGCCAAGTCTAAGGCCAAGCCAGGTCGGCCACCGCTCATGGCGCCCCCTACGTCGCCGCCAAAGCCGGTGGCGGCACCCACGCCAACGATCGAGTCGCCCGAAGCGGTCACGGATGTCCAGAGCGTCTTTGACGACGAGGACGACGGCGAGTCGCAGCAGGTGCTTGCGCGCCGAGCGTCGTCGCTGCTCGAAAGCTTCCGGACGCACGACAGTCTCTTGAGCTTCTCAAGCCTCAAAGCCGAAGACTGGGAAGTGTTCCAAGATCTCATGATGAGCGATCAGTTTGCATCGGCCGTCACGACGCGCGCGCCGACGGAAATGATGTCAATCTTCGACTCGTTCAAAGACAAGAGCATGACCGACGACGAGTTCCATCGACTCGTCGGCGTCATCGAGGACCCGGAGGCCATCATGGACTTTATCCAGGAGACGTACGAGTCGGTCGATCAAGGGAGGGAGTGGGATATGCCGCTCTGCTCTTGTGGCTGTGGCGAGACCGAGCTGATGCACCAAGAGGCGTCGCTCGCGCACTTGGTGCTGCCGCCGCCCGTCTTTTCGTCGCAGCCCGTGCATTTCGAGACGTACGGCTCGTACCAGCCCCACGTGCAAACCAACAGCCTCAACGAGTACGTCGAAGATGTCGACGAAGTCGAAGACCTCATGACGGCCTTCCACGTCGGCAAGCGCAGCAGTCGTCGATAGACAAATACTCCATTTCTCTTTCATTTGGTCTTCTTCAAGGGCTTAACGAGGCAGGGAAACCCTGGCCGCAAGCGTACGTCGAGGTTGACACTAAACTCTGCTCGGCGTTCGCCTTTGCTGTGCCCCCATCACTGTCTGCGCATCGCTGACATCGTAGCACCAAGAGCACAACCACTCATTAACACAGGATTGGTCTTGCGCTAGTCTGTGCGATGACTTATATTCGTCGATGCTGATGCGAATACCTCGTCAAAACGCCTTGGTTCGTATGTAGTCCAAGCAGACATGTTGGACAATTGGGTGCTTCAAGACAATAAACAACTCAATGGGCTTGTACGTAGGACTAGCTACGTTGCCTGCAGCAGCCATTCATGCCCTTTGGCCGATCTTAGACGCTTTGTCTTTGGCTCGAACGTAACAATCGCGTCTTCCGCTGGCGAAATTTCCCGGTCAAGGCAGCTACTATCACACGACTGACTGTCCAGCACTTGGCCCGTCGCGCTGAAGTGCCAACGCTTGACGAGTTGCTCAACGCTCTTGAGACGACCCTTGGTGTGCGCTACCTTGTCCCTCGCACAATCCCACATCAGGTAGCCCTCCGCGCTTGACGTACCGACCACGCCTCACAAGCGCATTAGCAAGTCCACCATATCTTTACAATTGCTTGACATCACTCGTTCCAACTACGCTTACATTGTCTGCATCTCGTTCGCCTCAACTTGATCGTGTCGACGGCATCATATTGAAGACGATCGGGGCTTCTTGATTGGTTGCGTTGGTCGATTTCATCATCACGTGCTTCGTCCTGCGCTTGCCAGAGCATGCAGCCCTCCATCGGCGCGCCGCTGACCAAGCGAGTCGATTCCTTCTCGAGCTCGACCTCGCGCCCTCCTGCCACTCGTTGCAGCGTCGCTGCGTGGCCGGGTTGGCCGTGTTCTAGCACAGGACCAGGTTGAAGATCGCAACTGGAACGTACTTGTGATTGGCTGGTTTTTGGCCAATCGCGCGCGTCTGTCGAGGTCGGGCAAACTCAGCTCTGTCGGTCAGTTTGACTTTGGACATGGCGGCGAACGTCGGTGACATCTTGGCCAGCCGCGACGCGTTCCCGGCGACGTACACGGCGCGCGACCTCATCACGTACGCGCTCGGCATTGGCTGCAGCTACTACAAGACGCCGGAGCAGGCGAGCACGGACCTGCACTTCACCTCGGAGCTGGACGCGCGCTTTGCGGCGTTTCCGCTGTACCCGGTCGTGCTCCTCTTCAAGGGCGACGCGCACGACGTTGTGGACTTTCCGCCACCGAGCATGTCGACGATCCCGAACGGCATGCCCGACTTCAACCCCGGCATGACACTCCACGGCGAGCAGAGCATCGAGGTCCACCGCCCATTGCCAGCCACGGGCGGGCGCGTCACGTGCCACCGCCGCGTGCTCTCCTTCCACCCGAAAGGCAAGTCGGGCGCGCTCATGGAAACCGAGTTCAAGATCGTCGACGAGGCAGGCGAGCCGCTCACGACGCTCGTCATGGGTTCGTTCTACCGCGGCCTGGACGCCTCCTTTCAAGGTCAAGGCCGCACGCCACCGCGCCGCCCAAGCATGCCTGTGCGCACCCCCGACATCGTCCTCACGCTGCCCACGTCGCCTGCCCAGGCGCAGCTCTACCGTCTCTCGGGGTACGTCGTCTTCTTGACTGCGTTCTCGTGCGCGTAGGCTCATGATGCCGATGCTGCTGTGTGTAGCGACTACAACCCGCTCCATATTGATCCGGACTTTGCTGCCTCGGCGGGCTTTCCGCAGCCCATTTTGCATGGTTTGTGCACGATGGGTGTCGCGGCGCGCGCGCTCCTGCAGGCGTACGGCCACAACGAGAGTGCTAGCTTCCGCAAGATGAGCGTTCGGTTCTCCAAGCCGACGTTTCCGGGCGAGACGCTCGAGACGCGCATGTGGCTCACGTCGCCCGGCCACGTGGCCTTCCAGACGCGCGTCGTCGAGCGTGACGCGATCGTGCTCGACGGCGGCGAGTTTGCCTTTGCGACGCCCGCGACGCCTCGCTTGTAACGACGCAATCTTAATCGCAACGACCGTCGACACGCATTTCTCTTCTTCTTCGTCTTCGTCTTGAGCGATGTCGATGGACGGCCTCGCACGCTTCCAAGCGCTGTTTCGGGGCCAGCGAGCGCGCAAACTCCACGTCACGCGCGTGCAGAAGGATCTCCGTACGTAGTCGCGACGATCGCCATCGCATTTGATAGAACCATGCTGCGTAGCGTGGTCGCCGTATCTGCCATGCAAGCCCGACGCCGCGGCCACCATGTTGGCGCTGGCCAAAGCCGGCCCGACCGACACGCTCCTCGACATTGGCAGCGGCGACGGCCGCATCGTCTTTGCCGCTGTCGCGCCGCCGTTTGGCGTTGCAAAAGCGATTGGCGTCGACATCGATGACGCGCTGATCCGGCACGCGCAAAAGGACCCGCGCTGCACGCCGGCGACGCTCTTCCTCTGGAGCGACTGGGTCGACGTCGATTTGAGCAGCGTGAGCGTCATCACGCTCTTCTTCCTGCCGCACAAGAGTATTGCGTCGCTCCTGCGCGCAAAGTGCAAGCCCGGCACGCGCGTCGTCACGTACGTCTTTCCGATCGCCGACTGGACGCCAGTGGCCACGGCGACCACGGTCGCGTTCCTCTCGGCGACGGGCACGTCGCCCGTGTACCTGTACCTAGTGCCCTAAGCTCCGAGAAAAAAACCTCTAGGGTCCATCAAGAATAGTGTACGTATCCTTGGGCCATAAGAGCTGAGTAATAAGCTCATAGTCATGGCATATATGCACGGGAGTGTTTGATGCCTCGCGAGTTCAATTCCTCGAGTCGACCGAGGGTTAGGTATCGTATGGAGCACAACACGACGCATGATATTGAAGAGATATAAAGCAAAAGGACATCGAGAGACGACGAGGACTAGACGTGCTGCGTCTGGGCCGCGCGGATCGCCTGCTTCTTCTTCTTGGCGTTGAGGCGGTCGCGCATCGTCCCGCGGATGCACATCTTTTCGACGCAAATGCGCGCTTCGATGAGCAAAAAGTAGGTCGAGCCAAAGAGCCGAAAGAGGTTGAAGCCCGCGACGATGTAGAAGAGAAACTTGAGGTAGTTGGCGCCCTCTTGCCCGTTCACCGAGTCGAACGAGATGATCAAATACGCAAAGCCCATCTGCGAGAGGAGCCAGAAAATAAGCAGCTTGGACCGAAAGTACTGAAAGTCGCCTTCCATCTTGTCCTTGATCTCGCCTTCCTTCTTCTTGCGCGCTTCCTCGGCCTTCTTGGCCTCGGCCGCGTCCTTGTAGTTGCCACCGCCGCCCTACACCCTAATTAGAGAGCACGAGACATGGTTGCTGTCGTACCGCCTTGGGGCCGTGGCCATCCGAGCTCTCGAGCCCTTTCGTGCCCCAGCTCAAGTCGTGCAAGTTGCAGAACGAGTACGTGTTGAGGATGTTGACGAACGTCGGGAGGAGACACATGTACTGGATGAACGACATGGCAATGTGGTGCATCTCGCAGTGCAAGCAGGACGCGAGGAAGAAGACGCCGACGGACGCCACAAACGCTGCAATGTCCTTGATCTCAAAGCTTGTCACCATCGTAGCAAACGGCATGCTATCGCCCATATGTAAATTCGGCCGTCGACTTATAGTGATTGAACGAACCCAGAGCGAAGACTGTCGATCCACGGCTTCATGATAAAGCCAAACGCAATCACAGACGTGAGCAGCATCACAAGCGCGTAAAAGACTGCCGTCAAGCGGTACACGCCCCTAATCGTACAGACAAAGGACCATGAGACATGTGCACATCGCCAATGGCCGTGTACTTGATGTGCTTGGGCTTGTTGCCGAGGCCCGCGACGAGCTGGATCAAAAACGACGTGCCGTACAAGAGCGAAAACACTTGGACAATAATGTCCTTGGTCTTGTCGGGAATGCCCGACGTAGGAATGTACCCCCAGTTGTTGGACTTGAAGCCGACAATCACAAGAAAGTACGTGACGAGGAAAAAGTTGGCCGGAAGGACCCACGAGAGCGCGACGTTGGCCGTCATGTAGGCGTACTGGATGCACAGAAAGAGCTTGCGGATGTACGAGTGGTTCGACTCGGTGTAGACGCGGCCCCAGTTCAAAATCGTGTAGACGAGCGCGAAGAACGACCCGTTGAGCCAGCGCCGGCGCTGGCCAATGAGCGCGACCAGATCCGTCGGTACGTCCGTGCGCGCGATCGCGTCCTTGACGTACTGCATCGTCCAGCGGCAGTTGCGGCGCGCGAGGAGCTCAAAGCACAAGATGCGATCTTCGGCGAGGTACATGTTGCCCTGGAACGGCCCGAGCTCGTTCATCGGGGTTGTCAAGCTCTTGAAGTACGCTTCGAGCGGCGCGCCTCGAATCGCCTTGTAGCGGTACGCCGAGAACGCACCGGGCAGCACCGAGATGAAGCCAAACACCGACTCGAGCGACTTGTCCATGACGTTGGAGATCTTGTACTCGAAATGCTGCGCGGCAATGACCCAGTTGCAGAGGTGTGGAATCGGCTTGTCGACTGCAATCTCGCCGCACGTGCCGCCAATCTGCGGGTCGATCTCCATTGCGCAGAGGAGGAGGTAAAAGGCCTTCGCCGTCGGCATCGTACCGACATCCAAGAGCACGGTATACTCGGGCTGGATCTGCTCCGCGAACGCGTTGAAGTACCACTCGTGCGAGTTGAGCTTCCCGCCGTTGTGCTCCTTGAGCGCAAACACAACCTGCGTCGGCGGATACCGCTCCGAGCTGCTCGCAGACGCTTCGATCGTCTTGGCCTTCTTGAGCTGGACGCAAAACTCAAACACGTGGCACATAACGTCGACGCCGACCATCATGATGTTCATGACGTCTTCGTCGAACGCGCCCACGTCCCGAAGGAAGGCTAGTGTCCCTTTGTTGGCTTTGGTCCGGCCGTCCGAGACGATGACGACGAGAATGTTCTTCCATGCGTCGTCGCCTTCGTAGCCCGGCAGCTTTTGCGACTTGATGTGCGCAATGTTGTTGGCGACCTTCTTGAGCGTCGAGTACATTTCGACTTGGTCTTCGTTGTACATGGTGATGACGACCATGAGCTGCGGCGTCCGGCCTTCCTCAATGCACTGCAGCCGGTACCCGTCTTTGGTAAACTCGGACACGACCTTGTTGGCCGCCGGCGTGTAGTACATGGTGCGAAGCTCCGATGTCGAGCCCGCGTCGATGCGCCCAGCGCATGCGCCGAGGCGGTTGACGACGTTGACGCCGAGCTTGCCGACAAAGCGCCGCGGCACGGACCCGCGCATGCCCTGTTGGTACTAGAGAGGAGGGCGTCGATGAGGTGACGCCATGCTGTCATGACATGGAGGTACCCAATCGTGGAGCTTCTTGGACCACTCGAGGACCTGGATCGCTTTGGTGTTGAGGAGCGACCGAATGTGCGGGTCGGCTTCGCGCTCCGAGACGAGCGCAAGCATCTCGCCACCCGCTAAAAAGTCATTGACGGCGCTTTGGTACCTACGAAACGACGCCACCGATCAGATCTACGATGTCGAGATGGGCGCGTACCGAGCTTCGGTTTCGGCCGTGACGCCCGACGCGATGATACGAAAGGCTTCGGGTGTCGACGCGGGCACAGCCTGGCCCACGTTGCTGTCCCGCATCACCTGCATCTGCTGGTTCCACTGGTTCTGCGACGCTGCGGCGTTGAGCATGCGCACAGGCGCGGGCGCAAACTGCGGCTGCATCATTCCGCCGGGCGGTGGCATCATGCCGCCTCCTTGGGGCCTACGTCAGGATGTAAGGCATACGTCAGACAGGCGAGCGTGTGTACCCGGGATACTGAATGCGCTGGGACGGCGGCGTGTTCTCCTGGAGGTACGAGCCATGTTCGTATGCGGCTGAGTCTTGCCAGACAGGCACGCCGAGGACGCCGTTGGCGCCGTGCTGCATATACATGTCGTCGTCGCTGTCACGATCGAACGACCCTTGCTGCTGCACCTGGCGCGGCGGCGGCGCGCGCAGGTTGCGGCCCGAGCCTTGCTGCATCGGCATCTGCGGCGGCGGGCCCATGTTGGCCGGGTTCATGTTGGGCCGCGGCCCGCTGCCTCCGCGGGCGGGCGGCGCATAGTTGCGGCGCGACATTGAAAAGGCGGAAATGAGTTTCACTGTCTCTGTTGTTCGCCCAGCCTTTTGTACGGTACAATTCAAAAAATTCCTGATGACCATCCGGATACGCGCACCACGTGGCCCGTATAGCAGACGCCTGCAAGAGGCAAGCGGAACGAGCACTACCTCATATCCTATTTGCACGGACGAGAGGAGCCAGCGCTGTGGTGAATTTCTGCGCGCGCTTCTCCGAAGCACATTCCACCAGCAACTTTGCCCACCATGACATTCCACCCTCCGCATCTGATACGAAAGTGGCGAAGGTCCTGTCCACCAGAAAAGTGCATCTAGCGCTGCAAGTAGCTTGCACCGAGTTGCCTTGAAAAGTACGCTGGTCGTCGGTCGTCGCCTCGTTGTTGCTAGCATCGTATAGACAGAAGCGACCGGCGAAGCGAGCTTGAACCGGCCATCCGAACATGGGTTGGCATCAAATGGTGACGCCGCATCCAGCGTACCTCGGTACCTTGTTGCTGTACAATTGAGATGGAGATCTGAAGATGATGGGACTGGGAACCAGGTTAAGTTCGTCGTGGGATCAACCATAGTATTGCTGCTGCAATTTTGACTCCATGGAGCACCATGGCGCTGCGTCGGCCTTGTGCACAAAAGCTGGTGCGGCAGAAAGTGCGATCGTGACAAGACCTCTGCTCTGCACCCTTGGCCGCCAAGCCTGTTGGCTCAGTCCTCCGCCGCCTGCTATTTGTCCCACATACTGATTAAGGCAATTGCGCGATCTTTGTTCAATTTCCCGTAAATTGCAAGGAAGAATACGGTGTGTCACATCCGGATACGCCGACCGTGACCAACGTGGTGGCTACTGGATTGTTTTCGGTTCAAAACGCCATATAAATTACAAGGTTGCTGTGCGTAATTTAATTAAGCGCGCTGCGTGCAATCGCCAGCGAGCGATATACATTGCGCTCGACCAGCATGGCGTCGTCGACTGCGTGGCTCGAGTCGGCCGACTACGTCCGCAGGCTCTACGACCTCTACGAGGCAGACGTTGTTGATACGCAGATCAGCGATCTGCCCGCATCGCCGCCCACCGCCGTGACCACGCGCCTCGCTGCGATACCGCTCGCCTGGTCGTCGCTGCCATCGCTTGCCAAGCGCGCGCTGCTCTGGGATGCCGGGTACGTTCGCAGTACTGCAGGCGCGACGGCCTACGTCCAAGTGCAAACGCGGTGCGCGAACACGACCGGGCGTAGCATGGCGTCGATCGCTGTGCGCCGGCCCCAGTTTGGTGGCGCCACCGTCGTCTGCGCATCGAGCGCGAGGAATGCAACGACGACGACCTACTTTCGCCAGGCGTCGTCGGGCGTCGTCGACTTGGAGTGGACATGCGCGACGCAGGCGCCACTCGCGAACGGTGCCTCGATCGCGTGGGCCCAAGACGACCTCGGGCCGCTCACGGTGCCGACGCCGCAAGTATTTATGGTCCACACCGACACGCAGACGCTGTTTGCGATTCACACGTCGCCGTGGCCGAGCGCCTCGTACGGCATGTGTCCCGCGCCCAATCGACCGAGCGGCCTCGTCGTGCCGTGCGTGGGCCTCGATGCTACGACCGCAAAAACCGGGCTCTGGTGCAACCCCGCGCCGTCGTCGCTCATGGACGCGTGGCTCGCCAACCTGCACGACCCAACAGTGCCGGTGGTGCTTCCGACGACGCTCGCACCCGCCACCATGCGTCCGACCGACACGATCGTCGCGCCGCCGATGCCAGTGTCCCAGCCCAATGCGACCGGCGCCGTTGGCACAGCGGTCATCGTGCTCGGTGCTGCCTTTGGCGTCACGGCCGTCGTCGTCGGTGTCTGCTTCATCGCCTGGTTCCAACGCAAGCTCCAAGAAATGATCGATGCAACGGAGAGCAACCTCCGCGTCGCGCCCGCCCCTCTCGACAACCTCGAAGCCGACGATCGGCACTCGAGCAGTGGGCTCTACGGGCCACTGGTGACGCCCAAAGACGCCGACCGACTCCGGCACTAGTCGATACAATCCAAAGATTATTAGTTGCTGCTGCTGCTGCTGTTGTTCGAGTGGCGAGGCGAGTTGTGGCGGGGACGGCGCGCGGACGGGTTGGCGTGCGTGCTGCGCGGGCTGTTGGGCGTGAAACCCGACGCCGCCCGCTGCTTGCGGCGCTCGTCTTCGCGCTCCTTGGTGAACTGCATAGCTTCCGCGTCGCCGAGGGTCGCGCCCGTCACGGGGTGCAACAGCGCCTACACCATGCGTTCATCAGCAACGCCGTCATCGCGCAATCAGCTACCTTGATCGAGAGCTTGGCCGAATCCTTCTCGGCGAATATGCACCACGCATCAAGGGTCTGGCCCGTCATGAGCACGTCCGAGACCTTGCGCACGGGCGAGTGTGCCATCTCCGAGATGTGGATAAAGCCTTGCTTGGCCTTGCCGTTGGCCGAGTCTTTGCCGTACGCAAACTTGGGCACGACGACGCAGCCAAAGTCCATGATGGTCTGCACCACGACCTCGACGCTACATGCCACGTATAAGTCAACCGACAATGGCTAGCGGGTGTTGTACCGCTGGCCGCGACGGAACATGAACGTCGACTCGGCAATCATGGCCTTGGCGAGCTCAATGTTGTCGTCGCCCTTGCCAAAGATCTCGACGAGCCCGTCCGAGTCCTTGCACGAAATTGTGCAGCTAGTCGCCGCTTCGATCTCGCGAATGTTGCTGCCGCCCGTGCCAATGAGCGCGCCGCGCATCGCCGGATCAATGTGCACGATCGTCGACGACGCCACCTGTATATATGTGGTTCATATTGTCAGCTGTAGGCAAGACAAGGCGTACCTTGACCGGTTTGATGGGCCGCGCCTCGGCAAGCACGTTGTTCATTTGCGACAGGATGTCCATGCGGGCAACCTTGGCCTTGGAAATGCCTTCGCACAGAATGTCAAGGGGCACGCCGGGCAGCTTGACGTCGAGCTGGATGGCCGTAATGCCGTCTTTGGAGCCCGCAATCTTGAAGTCCATGTCACCATAGTGGTCTTCGCTGCCGAGGATGTCCGTCAGTAGCGTGTATTCTACGCCATGCATGACGCTTCGCTGACGCATTCGACGAGCATTATACCGTCGATCGGCGCCTGGCCGTCATAGAGGTCTCCCGGCGTGACAAGACTAGAGGACACCAATGACGTCACTTGTGTCATCCTAGCGAATGGCAGTCAACGTACCCGACAGAGATGCCAGCCACGGGCGACTTGATCGGAACGCCGGCATCGAGGAGCGCCATCGAGACGCCGCAGACGCTCGCCATTGACGACGAGCCGTCCGAGCCCATCGTCTCGGACGTCATGCGGATCGTAAACGGAAAGTCCAGCACCGACGGCAAGAGCGGCACAACCGCCTTCTCCGCCAAAGCACCGTGGCTACGCACCCACGTGATTGGTCATTGCACGGTCTGTCATGCCACGTACCCAAGCATGCGGCGGTTGATGCCGCCGATCTTGCCGGTTTCGTTGACGCAGTACGGCGGGAACTCGTAGTGCAGCATCGCGTTCTTGAGCTCATAGTCGTCGTTGTCGCGAATCGCCGACCGCACCTTGAGCTACAACCCGTGGTCATGCTACCAGTCGCGGTCTCAAGGAAACGTACGCCTTGGTCGACGTGGCCCAGCGTCACGGTGCACAGCGCCTGCGTGTCACCACGCGAGAAGACCGACGACCCGTGCACGAGCGGGAGGAGGCCCGTCTCCATGCTGAGCGGCCGCACTTGTTCGGCGTTCCGGCCGTCGACGCGTTTGCCCTGGAGCAGGTTGGCGCGCAGCGCACCTTGCACGAGGTCGTGCGACACCATCGTGAAGAGCGGCTTGTTGGCAAGGAGGAGCTCGGCGTGCGTCTTGTAGAGCTGTTGCTTGACAAAGTAGTAGCAGTCGTTCTCGAGCACTTGGCGCTGCGACTTGGTCGTCGGTGCTTGCAGGCTCGACAAGCGCGTCTGCAGCTCGGGCAGGAGCGCTACAGGTGACAGATCGTATTGAGTTGACTGCTTGAATAGAGAATGAAGAAGGACCTTGCGCCACCGCGGCGAGATCGTCCGGCACAACCAACGGCGTGAACGTGCGCTTGGCCTTGGCAGGCAGCGCCTGCTGCTCGGCGATGATGGGTTGCACGTGCTCGTGGGCGAAGCGGAGCGCGTCTTGCATCGCGGCCTCTGAGATCTCGAGGCCCTCGGCTTCAATCATGACGGTGCGCGTCGACGTCGCCGCATACAGCACGTCGAGCGTCGCACGCGCCTTCTCGTCGGCCGTCGGGTTGCACACGAGGCGGCCATCGACGTTGCAGACGCGGACGCAGCCGATGGGACCGTTCCACGGAATGTTGGACGTGGTGAGCGCCGCCGACGCACTGCCATCTCAATGAGTTGCGCATCGTTGGGAGAGATGCGTCATACCTGTTGACAGCAAGCACGACCGGGTCGTGGTCAATGTCGTACGACTGGACAGTCGCAATGATTTGCGTCTCGTTGCAGTAGCCCTTGGGGAAGAGCGGGCGCACGATGCGATCGACGATGCGGCTCTTGAGGATCTCGGCGTCGGTGCCCATCATCTCGCGGCGCTTGACGCCACCGGGGATCGTACCTAGAGAGAAGGAGGAGAGAGGTGAGCACCGGTCCGTGGCGGCATGTTGCACCTGTCGCCGAGTACTTTTCGCGGTAGTCGACCATGAGCGGGAGAAAGTCCTTCTCGTGGTTGGCCGACATTTCGCTCACGACCGTCGTCAAAAGCATCGAGTCGCCCCAGCGGGCCATGACGCTGCCATCGGCAAGGGTTGCATACTTGCCGACCGCGTACTGCACCGGCAATTGCGGGCGGGGCACGTAGACAGGCTCGGCGACAACATCGATCTTGGGCGCCTTGGGCGCCTTGGCCTTGGGCTCCTTGGGCGCTTCCAGCTGCTTCTTCTTCGGCTCGTCGTTGCCAACGAGCGACTTGAAGAAGTCGCCGAGGCCAAAGAACGTGCGCTGGTGCTGTTCAAAGACCTTGCTGCGGCCAGCCAGCGCGCGCGGCTGGAGCTGCTTGGCGAGCGCAAGAGAGCGCCGACTCGAGACAGAGAGCATGCTTCTTCTGTCGACCTACAGCCTCGATGAGGTCCATGCGCCATGCGCTCGGACGTACCAAACGCTGATGTAGTGTGGTTGGTTTCCTGCGAGCTATCGCCACGCTGCGTTTCCATTGGCTGAAACACGCATCCCACTTCGAACTTCGCACGATAGTGCCTTCCATTGGTCGTTTTGTCTCCGCTGCGTATTTCGAAGGTCATTTGGCTAAAACGACGCAACACGAGCCAAGTCGACGGTGGCATTCGCATGCAAGCGCCGACGAGGAGGACATGCTGAGCAAGAGGTGCACGTCAGAGTTGGATCCGCGCATCCCACGCCCAGGAGACGTCTACAAGTCTACAGCGTCACGCGTAATGCAGACAATCAAGTCATTCATGTAGACACAGGACAAAATTATTGTATTGACAGTATGGACAGGACTCCAGGACACAGAAATGAGTTGTCGGCTCGTACGCTCGACCCCGATAAGTTGAAACTACGACAGCGACCGACTAGATCGGGTAGCTGCCTTGGTTGACCTTCATGGCCTTGGCGGGGCGATTCGCGTTGGCATTATTGTTCTCGTCGTCCGACTTGTCGTCGCGCTCGTCGTGGTCGCCGTCGTCGTGCATGGCCGTCGCCTTGCGCTTCTGGCGCGCGAGCACGCGCGACGAGCCGACTTCAAAGGACGACGACATGCCCGAGCCAATGCAGACGTAGCAGCGGCGGTCGCCCGTGAGGACGGGCACAAAGGCCTCAAACTGCACGTAGTAGCGCACGTTGCGGCGCTTGCACTTGCCATGGACCATGTCGTCCGTGTACTTCCACACCTTGGGCTTGAACTCGTAGCACGCAAGGTTGGTGTTTTGGTTGATAAAGTCGGGAAGACGCTCGCCCGGAATCCACTGCTCCTTGATGACGTCCATGACGTCGGGCTCGACGACGCGGCCAATCATGCACTCGCGCAGGACCGCTTCCTCGAACGGTACGGGAATGTTCTCGAGCGAGTGCACGCGGCCCAAGAGCAAAATGTCGTCGAACGTCGCGTTGCTGTTGAGCGAGACCTCGGCGATGAGGCTGCCGCGGCACTTGCCCCACATAAAGTCGTGCTGCTTGAGGTCCTCGATCTTGATTTGCGAGTAGTCGCCAAACACCTTGCACGCCGGGAAGCACTGCAGATTGCGACGGCCGTTGCGCCAGTACTTGTTCTTGAGCGACGTCTTGACCTTGATGACTGCCTCCTGGTTCTGCGACTGCGCGCCCGACGGCGCGGCGCTCGAGCCCATGTGGCTCATGAGGCTCGAGGACGGCATGGGTTGCGGCGGTGCGTGGCGCGACGTCTCCATGTACTCTTGATGGTACGACGGCGGCGGCACCTCCTTCTTGGCCGACGGATGGTGGTCCATCATGGCCGAGAACGACGAGGGATGGCCATTGCTGTGCATGCCACTGTAGCTCGGTGCGGCCGACTGGTACATTGGGTGCATGTTGCTGCCGCCGTGCGGGCCCGCCATCATGTGCATGTCGTTGCCGTAGTGCGACGACTGGCGCGGTTCGTGGTCCGGGTGCTGCGAATGCGCATGGGGTGCGTAGCCATAGCTCGACGGCGCCTCCTTCGGGTGGCCACGGTCCATGTTGAGGCTGTGCTGCATGCCATGCGAGTCGCGGCGGTCGGCGTAGTGGTGCGACGGCATGTGGTGGGACGGCGCGTCGCCATATTGCGAGGGGCCATCGTTGGCGTAGGGCTGCATGCCCGAGAGGAGGCTGCCGTAGCGCGCCGGATGCTTCTCGTACGGCTTGCGGCCATACCGGTCATCGAACGACTGCATGTTGTCCATCTCGGGCGGCGGCGGCATCTCATAGTTAAACGGGAGCGGGTCCGGTACAAAGTCGTCGCCGTTGTGCTTGGGCGCCCGCGGGGCCGAGCCGGCAGGTGCTTGTCCGTATTGGCGGTACAGGTTGTCCAGCGCGAGGCCCGTCGTCATGGGGACAGAGGTGGACGTGGGATGTGCGCCGATGTCCAACTCCGTTGGACTCGAATTGGGAAATGAGGTGGTCGTCTTCTCGCAGCTTTAAATGGTGGATACAGCGTTGTATACTGGCGCAGAGTGGTATTTTTTATCCCACTGCCTTCGTTTTTATTATTTTCGTTGGATTTTAGTGCACTGACGTCACTAGTGCACCTGAGTCGATTCAACAAATTAAAAAAATAGCGCTTCCCGCTTGAGCCAGAGTTGGATCAGATGCAGTGCTTAGCCAATCAGATGCCTCCCAGCTGCTTGCGATTGGCTGGTGTCACGAGCCAACGCGCGTTCTCATTGGCTGCAGGCGTTGCCATATGAATAGAAAGTACGACTTTCGGCCGCGCGGCTGGGGTCGTTCCGAGACCATGTGCGAGCGTCGAGCATCGCCTTTCTTGCTCCTCCTGTCAACATTTCCAGTTCGTTGCACGATTGGTGCGCTCGAGCACGTCTATTTGGCAGATGGGAATATTGGCTCCCAGCTGCCGAGACGATACAAACGGCGACCGAGATTCGACGGTTGTGATATCCCACGCTACAAAAGAGTGGCACGGCGTGCACCTCTGTGTGTGCGCCCGTGTCAGGCACGTCCGAGCGCGATAAAGACGCGCCTTCATACGGACGACACACAGGGGATCGTAGACGCCACTGCAAGGAGCACCCTGCGGGTCAAAGAACCCACGTCCGAGCAGATGGTGCCGAGAGGCTTCCAGGCGGCCTCGTTGGGTGTTGAAATGATGGTCCGTGAAGGGACGGGTGGTGTTTAGAAATTTGAACATGGAATCCCGCCGATGCGCGCCGAACTCGCCACGCACGAAACAGAGAGCGCGCGACGCGCTTCCTGATGATGATGACCAGGGTATTGAAGTTCGATGTGCTACAGGCAAAGGTGCAACGTGTCCAACTCGTCATCCCGTCGTAGTTGTCGATGACCTTGTACGGTACATGGACTACGAGGAAAGAATGAGCACTCTTCGACTCTCCTCCGCCTTGCCGTGCAACGGGTGGAATTGTCGACAGGGTGACTCGCGGCGTGGGACGGCAACATGAGACTGAGTCATGCCACCCATCGCGCCATATTGAAATTGACAAGTCTTGGCTGCGCCGCACGGTCTCTGCTGTACGCTCCAACTCCCTCTGGCATTGCATACCCTGAGCCCCATCTGTAGTATGCTGTCTCAAAGGCTATGCAAGACCAAAGGTATGGACCGTCCGCTGCCTGGTTGACCTCAACGAAGCAAAGCGGGATGATGGGCAGTAGGATGTGCGCCTGGCGGGAACACTGCGTTCGTTCGTTCGTGGCGCGTTTCCCTGGCCGAATCCGGTGCAATTTCATTTGAAAAATCCTGGTCCTCGATTACACATTGCTGTGCCATCGTTCTTGCTTGAAGGTACCCATTCGCGTCTCTTGGGTGCTCGGGTATTCATCGACCCGCGCATCACGGACCAAAACCTTACCGATGCACTAGACAACGTGTGCATGTATCGACGCCTGAACACAGTGACGCTGCAACCCTCAAAACACCGAGGCACCGTTGCATTGAGTACTACACGTGTGCGCACTGTACCGCAATGGCCCCTCGTCGCATGCGTCGATCTCCGCGCAGAGTGGCCTCCTGCTTGGCGGCTACTCACGTGGCACCCAAGAGCGGTACCCGCAACTCTCTTGTCACGGACCTCGATCGAATGCCACGCCCAAGACGGTCACCTTGATCGGACGCGGCGACTCGGGTGGGACTGCCGAGTTGGCCAGAGGGTGCGAAGTCAACGTGGTCGTGCCACCAAGCTCCAGGGCGCAACCGCAACGTTGCCACTGCACCGGGCGGCTCGCTGTGTCTTTGAAGCATGTCGAGCGATGCGCTGTGGGCACTTGACCACGAAAGACCATTTCATGCTTGCTCATTGCCAGAAGCCCGTGGGCGACCTCGAGGATTCCAGCGCGCCGCTCGGTCGAGATCTCTTGCGCTGCGTGGCTTCGTTCTGCAACGACTTCGTCGTATCTGAGAGTTCTCTCCACTTCCACAGCACGCCACGGCTTGTTCCAGAGGCAACAAGCTACGTTGTTGCTGGAGTGGTCATGGCGGTGACCTCTCGATGTGGTAGAGACGAACGGCAGTGGGAGGTAAAGCCGAAGAGGATGAAGGGCGCATGCTGAAGGCTCGAGCGATGAGGCCACGGCGATGGTGCTTGCAGCGCCTTGTAGCAGTCATACCAAGCTAGCCCGCTGTGAATGCTCATGAGCGGCAGAATGCCCCCGCACTCTCTACCAGCATGCTGCTCCTCGGGAGAGGAGCTATCACTGCGCTCGACCGGAGCTCCATTGTACAAGTAGGCTGCACTGCCTCCGATAGCATTTCATGGCACATGGGTCATGCGAGCATGGCGTCTCAGACGCGTAGTGCTGCGACTTGGAGCGGGCTGCGAGCTTGGTGACAAGCCAGCGACCTTGACAAGCCAGCGATCTTGCCGCCAAATGCGTATCCGGATGGCTTGAAATTCAACCCAGTTTATCCGGATTTCCAGGAAGGTTCGAATTCCAAAACTCCTCTGCGGGCCGGGATGGAGGACGACGATTGCTACGGGTTTGGGTCCTACGACGACGTCTTCTCGGCGCCGCCGGGCGCGCAAGGGCAGGAAGCCGCCCCCGAAGAGATCACGTCGGCGCTCACGCCACGCTCGCGGAAGCTCGTGGACGTGACGTCGCCCGTCTCGGCGGCTGCCATTGGCACGTACTTGATGGACGCCGGGTATTTTGTCGCGAGCAGCGCCATTGCGACACCGCGCTTCCACGGACACCACATTGGCCTCAAGATCAAGCGCAATGGGAAGCTCGTCGCGTTTAGCTTCCCGGACGCGGGCGACATGGTCGCTGCGAGCGTGGTCGAAGCGGGCGCTGCCGTCTCTGTTCTGGGCGAGCTCTTCCTCGATGACACGACCTTGTTGTGGAAGCCAGCGCACTACGCCGACGCCAAGGCGTCCGCCTCGGGCCACATGTACGGCTCCGACCGCTACAGCCTTCAGCTACCGCGCGGCCACGTGCGCGGTGCCCAGAGCGCACGCGTGCAGAACGTCATGTCGGCGCTTGTCGTGACCATCGAGACGTTCGACATTGCGTTCGAGTTTACCTTTATGCCGGGTCCATACTCCAAGCCGTCCAAGTGCAACGAGCTTCTCGACCTCCTCACCCCAACCGCCTCCTCGCCCCAAGCAGCGCCGCTCGCAACACCGTCAAAGAAAGCATCGCCGCTTCTCTCGCAGACGCCGCCCATGCGCACGCCCCAGCGCCGCTTGTCCAGCGCAAGGTCGCCAGTGCCCATGTGGAGCAGTCCCCATCACCTCTCGCGCGATGCCGTCGACGAACGTAATGCGCTGGTCCGGGCATACCTCGCACTGCCCCGCGGCTCTGCCGAGGCCCTTGACGCGGCCGCTACGGTGCGCACGCTCCACTCGTAACCTTGTCATCGTCATCCGATGGTATCGCTAGATTCAGGACAAGTACGGATACCCGATCGGTCCCGTCGCCGGCGCGTCCTTCCTTGATGACAAGGACTACCGGTACGCCAACGCAGCATCACGCCTTCTGCTCACCATCATTCAACGCAGGCGGGACACGGTCGCGCGACTCGCCGAGACGGTCGAGCGCATGAAGCGCGTATGGAAGGCCGAGGAGGTGCTACTCGAGCAGCAAACGCACGTGCGGAGTTCGCGGTCGGGTGACCACGACATTACCTATTTGGATACCAACACGAGCCACTTTATCACGCCAAAAGAGTACGAAGTGCGCTACAAGCAGCAGATCCAGGCGTCAACGCCAGTCGTGCTCACGTCGTCGTCCTTGGCCGTCCATCCTCCAACGCTACTGGATGCAAGCGCGAGTTGCATCGTGGACGCCCAGTTCTTTGAGCGCGAAACGCCACTGCTCACGCTGCCCGAGACTGTCCCCAGTGCGCTCATGGACGAAGCGACCAGCAAACTGCGCGGATACGAAGCGCGGATCGATTGCGCGACCAACGAGCTGTACCAAGCGATTGCCAAGCTCACGCACCAGCACTACACCACCGTCCGGTCCATCGAGGTACGTCTGATTCTAGCACGTCGCCGATCCTATATAGGCCATGATGTAGGACGAGTATGCGCAGTACATTAGTAGCCTCGGCGTCCAACTGCCCGTGCGGCTTGGTACGGCGCTCGCGACAAGAAGGGAGCTTAGCTTGTCGTAGATGCGTCGCGGCCACCCAACAAGAGGCGTCGACGCAGCATCCTGACGTCGCCGTCACAGGGCGAATCGATCAGCGACCCGCAAGCGACCAGCGACCTCGAGGCGGCGCAAGACGGTAGGCTCCCATCAACAAAACAAGAACGCATGCGATGCCGATAGAAGAGAGTGCAAAGCGGCAACGGCGGCTCAGCACCGACCTCCCGACCATGGCCGAGCTCGACGACGCGGCCGAGTCGTCCAACGTCGTCGCGGCCCCGTCCCCACTGTGCTTGGAGGGTAGTCCTATCTGCCGACACTGGCGCAAATCCCGAATGCACGCGTGTAGAGGACGCCGATTTGAACCTGTGCAATCTCTGCTTTGACGAGCGCGTGGCCATCGGTAAGATGTCTGCGACAGCCGTCGTACTCATGTCTCTGCAGTGCTCAAGCCGTGCGGACACGAAATGTGCAACCAGTGCTGGGGCAAGCTCCAAGCGTCGCACGTGCACGAGTCTGGCGCGATCCAGTGCCCGTGGGACCGGGAGACGGTCGAGCCGCAAGTCGTCGTCGCGCCTTGAGATCTTATTGCAGTCGGATCTGAAACTGCTAATGTCAACACCGTAAACACTGGCGTGTAACCGAGACGTATCTTTTGTCGAAGAAACCATGGCAGCGGCGCAAGACGTCCGACTGGTGGACTGGGGGCACTTGGCGAAGGAGCGCCGACAGTACCCGCCTTTGCCTGTGCCAAGAAAGCGTCTCGAGACCGACATCGCGCCCTTAATTGCGCCCCCCCACGACCCCCCCACCCCGATCGAAACGAAAATTGAGGATCCCGAGTGCACCTTTCAACCGCAGCGCATTGCCAAGATGGATGCGTGGGTGACGTCCAAGTACCTAAACCCACGGGTGCCCCCCCGGTGGCCAAAACGTTTGTGCCCTTCGACGCTCAAGCCTGTCGTAGGCCCCGCGCCGAGCCCGTCTTGTCGTTCACACCCGCCATCAACCGGAACGTGCCCATTCATGCGAGCGAGCCCAACGTCTACAACCGGCTGTATGCCGATCGTGTCCCTCGCCCAGCAAACGTCATCGCAGAGTTTGCTATGGTAGCATTGGCTTATGATCGGCGGTGTAGGACACGTCCCCGGTCGTCCATTCGTCCAAGCTCTCGAAAGCTGCGATTGATGCGTGCATCGCGCGCCAGCACGAATACCTCGTCGAGACTCAAGTACGAACTCGCTTTAGAGGTGGTCCAAGATGGCGTCGTAGCGCCGCCAGCGCGCGCTGCAAGACGCGACCGTGTACCCGTTCCGGCCCCACATCAACCCGCGTTCGCAGCGGCTGGCCGCGCGATCGAGGTACTTTTACACATGCAATTTCGCCATATCGCGAGAGACGGTGAGGTAGCTCCATGAGCGAGACGCTAAATCATGCTCAGCGCCGGCGCGAGTCCAAGCTCCGTATGCTCTTGGCGCCACAGGAGCCGCGCTCGACCGTCACCGTCGTTAATGCCGTCGCCCAAGCCAAAGCGACGGTGCGCCTCAGTCGGCCCAAGGACGCGTATTACGTGCCCGATTTTGAGACCGACACGAGCGTCTCTGGCAGCAGCACCTCGGCCCACGCCGCCGCGTTACTCTACGAGAAGCTCCAGGAGCAGCACGCGGTACAACGCCCTTGGAGCACTCTGGCTATGTTGGCCATGTAGGTCCAGCGCCACGTCAGTTTACGGCAGCACGTCGACGCGATTCTCGACGACTATGCCAGGGCATCGTAG